GTGCTAAGTTAAATGTTAAGTATAACTCTACCTCTCTAGCTTCCAGGAACCACTCGTCCCTCTCCAACCTATCAGAAGACTGGTAAACTTCCAAATCACTGCCACCAATAATGCGCGGAAGACTAATACTGGAACCTGGATAAACTTGCTGCAAACAGAATAGACTACTGTAACGCCCAGCGTTTCTTTATCATTGATTTGTTTCTCGTTTCCTCGATATTAATCAAGTTGAGCATAAAACAGCGGCAGCTTATTTATGCGTTACTATGACTGAAGCGCTGAGAGCCACACACGATAAGTTGATAAATCGATGATCAAGTATCCGGCAAATTCTAGCCCTGGGCATGGTATCCAGTTCATGTTAACGGTGTTCACGGCCAAGCGGCAAACAGTCTCGTCAAGTCGTAAATTAAACATTATTCTGAACAAATAAAACCCCATTTACACGCGCTAAAAAAATCGGTACGGCACGCCAAATTTTTGGCACCGTGCCTCGTTTACGCGTTCCGAGACTACCTCCGGGAGGTAGTCTCGGCACCCCTAAAATTTTGAGCACTGGTGCCAAACTACATTTGGGACCGATACGTTTACACGTCGAAAAATGGGAGTGCCTTGCCTTAAAATCGTCGGTGCCAAAAATTTGGCGTGCCGTGGCGATTTTTTTAGCACGTGTAAATGGGGTTTTAGTTTACGGCCGCGGGTTTGCTTTCCGTTAAGACAGGTTAAGAGGAAGCTCAGTCATAAGTCTGATAAGTGAATGTTAATTAAACTACGTCTTCTGAAGGTCCCAGCAAATAAGCAGATAATTGTGCCGGCTTTCAAGAGAAACACGGCGGAAATGGATTCGACTCAATGAACGACTTTCCTTTATACTTATTCAGTCCTGCTCACTAGTGACTCCGTGGCAGATATTTGACGATATACAAGCTTACCTTTAGCTACTCCTCATTCGAGGTTAAATATAGTATATGTATGCATGTGTGTATGTATGTATGATGATATGAAAATTACATTACTGAAATATTCAAGGACCAAAAGAAATCAGCGTTTAATCAGACCTTTGCAAATTTCTTGAAGTTTTTCAAAGTGGTATTTCCTGGTCTCTTCGGTGCAGTAGGTGCGACATTGGCTGGCCTGCGAACTACTAACGACACTTGTTCCAAAACAAAAAGGTCGCGAGGTAAATGAGCATCTCCATCTTCAACGGTTTCCTTAACCACCTTCAAAGACATCATCGAAAATCACAAGTCAGCAACAACAAAATGATGTATTAGAGGAAATACGTTGTTTACTAGGAGTTGCCAAGAATTGTGCCTTATATGCTGAAGAAAAACGAAGAAAAACGCCGGAGATCAAACAAGAAAGTGACACGAAGGTCTGCAGTTATAGTTTTCTGTTACTAGTCTTGTCTACGGAGCAGCACGGTAGGAATGCGCCCAAACTTTCCATTTTGCTTGTACAGTTGTGTTTGTCGTTCAACTTAAGGTGGCCCGAACCTATTTCAGGAGCGGATCCAGAAAATTCAGAAAGGGGTGGCCGGGACACTTGCAAGCTATATAGATAATTTTTATTTTCCTGAGAATTCTATAAAAATAACACAAAATATCAAAAAAGGGAGTGGCCGCGGGCCCCTCGGCCCACCCCACCCTTGTATTCATATGCGTGCTGGTTATGTTTCTGAATCGCCTTTTTCAACAGGAACGATTTAACCGATTTCTACGGTTTTTGGTATCCTTAAGAGAAAATGTCATTTATGTTCTTGTAGGTATAAAAACGTTTGAGATATGGGGCATACATTTAAAGCCGCATTTTTACGAAGAATGTAAATAAATTCGAAATCCTACGACGGATTTTTCCCCAACTTCAGCAAATAAGCCTCAGAGCTCTCTAGTTTTACATCTGTAAGTTTGAAGTCAGTCGTGACCATACACCAGTCTTGCATCTTGATACTTGCATTTGGTAATTCATTCAGGGTTTTTAGACTTGCCATCACATTCGCACGGGCAGTTTACCTTTAGGTATGATGAGAAGAATAGGACGATTGTCATATTTTTTTTTATCTTTATCCCTAAGTGGCAAATTTCCCGTGCAAATGTGATGTATTAAAAGCTTGAATAAATTACCAAATACAAGGGTTTTCATTGCAGCTGAAAAATGGAAGATATAAAAGTACTGGAGTTGGTGGCTTCATTTTTCCTCAAAATGGGAACTTGCGACGCTAAAAACTCTTGAGAGTTTTTCGTAGATGCTATGTTTGCTTTGTTAAGAGATTTGCTTCGAAAAGAGAGGAACAAATACAAAGCAAGTTTGATGAAAAGAAGTTCGTTAGTCTCAACGCGTACCCAGCATAAAGTTTTGCGTCTTGTAGTGCTAATTGTATTCGCCGTAGGTTCCTGATTACTCAGTTTCCTGCAATAAAGCTTTGGGTAAAAATACCCTTTCAGATAGGAGATAGTCCGTCAGCACTCTTCCCCTCTGCCAAAAATCATAGAAATCGGTTAAATCGTTCCTGCTCACTGAAAAACGCGATTTAAAAACGTAACTATTTTTAAAGCTTATTTGCAGTTGGTTAATAAAATCGCCATTATGGGAAGAGAATTCTCTGTTTAGCCTTCCACCCAAAACGCCAAACCCAAACCTTCATAACTTAGACCAAACAGAAGCCACTTGCTCTTGCATTTCATTTTCCTTTCCAAAGGGAGGGAGTAGAAGAAAGAATATAAAGTTTAAGCATATACAGAGGTTATTGCAACTGAGCTAGACGTAGTTGATCAAGAAAGAGCTGTAATGTGTAATGAAAGTAACCTGGAGCAAGATTACATGCAAATATGTTCTATACACTCAGCAGGTAACAATTCCATAATTTCAAACCTTTCTTGGCATCTTAGAGCAAAGAAATCCAGCTCGAACATGTCTCGAATCAAAATGCTGCTCATTCACAGGCCAGCGTCTATTTTCTTTATTAGTTTCTTGTTGCTGTACGTGAATTTTTATTTCTTCAGGCTGGGTATCTCCTGGCTTTCTCTTAATATCTGCAGTGTCATCAGCAATGAAGTGATCAGGATTAACATCCAAACTATCAGGAATGTTTTCCGTTTTAATTGCAGCGATCATTTCATGTCCAATATGTTCAGTTCCTTTTTGTTCTTCATCATTTTCACAATCAGTGCCATCCTTGATCTCTAAGCTATCGGCAACCAAACTGTCCGCCACAGTAAGTTTGAGCTGAAGGTTACTGAGAGTTTCATCTGTTGATTTGTTAATATCTACTGAATCTGGCACCAGGGCTGTTTCTGCTGACCGTCCTATAGGCGCCTGTTCAGGCTCAAGTAGCTTCCTTCTCTTAGTTGATGGTGGTCTTTCTTGATTGTCAGTTTGGCTTTCAGGAAGAGATTCATTCATAACATCCGGCTCACTTGTGCTTGTGCTGCATCTGCAATAACCATGATAATAATTACCAACTTAAGAGAGTGATAATAATAAAAGTTTGGAAAAGTTAAATGATCAAAATTTGTGTGCAGTTTATCAATCCTTGTCTCTAAGACATGTATTGGAACGACCGGTTTCCAATGTTACTACATTAAGCGGTCGTTTTGATACAAACCGAAGCAGTGAAATTGCACAAAAATTTCGATTACTTTGAGGATAGTTTGCATGCAAACAAGAGAAACATTTTGGGTGAATATCCTTTGTTCTTTAAGCAAAGTACTCAATACAAAAAACCCGTATCGAAACAACTTGTATCAAAACGACCGGCAACCGTTAGTACAACGCATACATACACTGTACCTTTTAGTCTTCAAGGAGTTGTGGACAGTTGTGCTGGCCAGGCCAGTTTCTTTCACAGAACTAACACTTTCACTCTTGTCCTGTCTGACATGCTTCACAGGTGTGATTGGTTTTTTGAACTTTCAAAACGAAAGAAAGAAAGAGAAAATCCCAGTCACTGATATATTTCTACCAAAAAAATACCAGCAAACATAACAAAGCTTTTGAAGGTTTCAGATATCTGCACTGCGATCATGGAGTGTCCCAGGTAATAACCCAATCCATCACTTGACATGAGCATTTAACAAAAGGCCACATGATCAACCAAATGCACACACTGTTAAAGATGTTTACCAGGGAACATGTAACTCAAATGTCCCTGGGAATAAACAACTAGCCCAACAATGCCCTGTCTGCTCAAATGATATCAGCAAACCAATACCTGAGGTTTTCTGAATAGTTATGGAGATGAGTGTGACTGAGACATCAGACCTTTTACCTGATCATCATCAACCTTCACAGCTTCACCGGCTTCCATTACTGTCTACAATTAGCTACCTCCATGTAGACACCACTCAATACGTAATAATAAACCATAATTATGATAATGATAATGATACATAATGATGATAATAGCAGTCAGGGTGGGACTTGAACTTGGGGCTGCCAAAAAATTGGTTATACATAATATGTACATTTCAAGGAGTTTTCCAGATTTTAGATATAGCCCACAGGTTATGCTATGCATACAGTGTGGCCAGTTTTTCACCCTATGGTATTTATAATTTTTTACTACCATTTAAAATAGTAAAACTACTATCCCATTTTTTACCCTTGACAGTATTTATAACTTAGTGACTAGCAAGGACAAGCAAACAATAATTATAACAGGGTTTATAGTCCTGACAGGGTGGAGGCAAACCAGTTGGCTATTTGCGAGGTTGATTGAGGATTTGAACTTGGGACTACCAAGAAGAAATCTAGCTAGCTGTCAGGGTGGGAGTTAAACTTAAGGTTGCCGGATCACAAATCTATAGTCTGGGATTGGACCAGGCTCCACAGTGGGGGAAAAAGCGAAAAAACCCGGGAGTCTGGGGGATGGTTCGCTTTGTTCACCAATTTTTTTTTGCTAACCCTAACCCTATCACCTCCTTTTTTCCCTTTTTTCCCTCATTGCAGAGCCTGGTCTCAGGCTAGCAAATCTAGCACTCTAACCACTTAGCCTGTTGCTTCACTTCAAACTCACATGACAAACAAAAATGTTCAATGAAAAAGAAATTTCAAATTCAAAGGTGTCTACTATGGTAGGTCCCTAGTAAAAAGTGAAGAGCAAAAATAAAACCAACTGAAATTACCTTTGGATAATTGGCTACCATCTGTTGTGACATAATATCTGCAGCTTGGAAAGACTGGCTGACAAGATTTTGCGTTAATGTTGGAACTAGTATGAAGGAAGAAATATTTACAATTTGTGTGTCAGGACAGCTGCTTGTACACATAACCTTAACAGAGGAACTGTTGTCACAGTCAAATGATGAAACACTGTATACAAACCAGCAGTAATACTTGGATTACAATACTTGTCCAATGACACAAATAGCAAAGCTAAGCCAATCTCAGACTCTGGGATAGGACGACATCCATGTCTATCAAAGAAATATTAAAGTCTTTTGTTACCCAAAACATTTGGTTTGATTATGTTAGTTGCACAAAGTCATGAAGCAGGTCATATGGCATTTTTCTATTGTAGTACATTTCTAACAACTTTGTTTCTATTAAAATCTGGGTCTCATTTCTAATAAGTTTCAACAACAGTTCTAAATAAAATAATGCTTTCTGATAAAGTATTTAGAAAAATCGCTTAACAAATACATTTTAGTCTCATAATTTGCTGATCCACTGTTCCTGCTTTCTCTTAAACTACTGATGATGATGATAATTACTGTCAAAACATTTCACTTTTGATACTTCAGATACTGAAAAAAGTCTTCAATGTACTGTTTGGTTAGGTAAAGAAAGTTGCATATGTAATTCACAGCAAAGTAATGAACCTATGCACAAACCTTCTCAATGCTTCAACTACATGTAAGACCCACTTTTGAGACTCTGTTGGCAATGAGTTTTGTTCTTTACTATCCATCATCATAACACAAACATCTTTAGATACCAGACCATCATCACTCTCACTTCCAGGTATATCCCTCAATAAAACAATGCCACCACTTGAGCCAACTGCATGCTGCAACCGTTTGTACTAAAAATAATGTTGTAATAAGTGAGATAACAATCCTGTATGTACCTGCATGTGTGCAAACACTATGTAGAAAATACAATTTTTTTAGCATCGCCATTTGAGAGGTTTTTTTAAGGCAACATCACCTTATGTAAGACACTAGTTATAAACAACAGTCTAGCTGCTAACCTGCTTTTTACTGATAAAGATGAAGGTTTTTCCGTGAAACAAAGATTTTCTGGTTTCTCTGGGAAGAAAACTTGCACCTTGAGAACTAATAGTCTCTTCCTTCAGGGGTGGAAGGTAGCTGCTACAAATCATAAAAAAAAGTTTCAGTGAAATTATGGAATTATAATTCATGAAAAAAAAAATTGTCTCTGTAGCCATACCTTTCCACAGGGAGAGGAGCTGGACCTGCGTTAGTAGAATTTATAATGTCATCAAAATAGGATGGTGTGACAATTGGACAACACTCAGCTAAAGCATGAATCACCTGCCAAACAGTTAGGCAAAAAAAGATAAATTAACAGACAATTCAAAAGTACCAAATCAGCTGTTACCATAGGACCTTAAAGTATCTGTTGGCTGTAACAACTGGTCAAAAACATGTCATATGTCTCAGGTTTTATGCCCCAACACAGCTACACCGCTTATGAATTGAGTCAACTAAAATATATTTAAGGAATGTTTTCCCGTGAAAATACACAACTGCAATCAACATTGCATCACCGGTAATCCTCTATTAAGCCCACCCCCAGGGGGGGGCTTATTTATTTCAAGCCCATGTGAGGGGGGCTTAATAGAGACAGGCAGTTTAAGACCTAGAATACAAAGTGGATAAGCTCAAGTACAAGAAGGTTGGAGGTCATACAGCTAAGGATCAAAAACAATTCCAAACTTCCAGTTGGTAAATAAACTATCCTAGATTAGTTCACATGAAGTTAAATGGTCGTGATTGATTAATACAGTCTATAATTTATTAGTGAAGAATAATAAGGGGAGGGAACGGGGGGGGGGGGGCTTAATAGGGGGGGGGGCTTCTTGTTTTTTTTCTCCCTGAAAGGGGGGGGGTTTTTGGGGGGAGGGGGGCTTATTTGAGGGGGGGGGCTTAATAGGGGATGTACGGTATTAATTTTTAGGATTGTTTTTTTCCAAAACCCCCTTTTAACCCCTTTTTATTTTTGGTATGTTGGTGGGCGGTGGTTTAGGGTGTATGTGTGTGGGTGGGGAGGGGTTGGTTTATTAGGGGAAGGGGGCTTATTTGAGATGGGGGGCTTAATAGAGGATTTACCGTATTAATGTTTAGGATTGTTTCATTGCCAAACCCACTGTTAACACCCTTTTATATTTCTGCTGCACAAGCAATCAACACAGCAGTATAACAGCAATGACCTATGGAAACTGTGAACAGCAGCAATGTTTTTGGAAAGATTATTGTGTTGGGAAATTTAAAAGAAATCCAATTATCAAGTGTGAGATATCTCAACTCCAAGGTTTCACAGTATCATGTCTGATATGTGGTGTTGGGTAGTTAGCCATAACATAAACAACAATCTTGGATTATTCAAGGGATTCACCATTTTGTTAATAGTTTGACGGTAAGTACATAACTGCAGTGTGCTTACTTTTATAGTAAATGTCAGTTCATCCATTACCAGGTGAGTTACAGTGTTTGCCCTCCAGTCATTGATCATATGACCACCTAGCACATACATAGGCATAACAGTATTTAGGACAGTGTAGGTTATCATATATTTTGTATTGTTAAAGCTGCAAATAATAAGCTTCTCTTTCAAGATGAAAGTAGCCCCTCTTTCCCATCCCTTGCCTCTTTTTTCTTGTTAAGGTAAAGTTAGTGCGCTTATCTTAACGATGTAGTTGTTGCTGTTGGTTGCAATGTCTAACATTCATTTGTATGTCATAGGACAATATGATTCAGCCACTGAGGATTCCCACCCTTTCCCCATCCCCAAAATAGATACAAAATCGAAAATAAGAATTCTCTGCACAAAAATATAATTAGACAGTTTCTGGTATAGTACTAGTAATAATAATAAAATTATTATATTATTACTAGCCATAGTTACATACATATATACTAACTTTATTCAAGATGTAAACAAGCTTATTTACAGGAAAAACATAATAATAAAAGACATCTTGAAAAGGAAGTTGAGAGGTTAGACCTATATTAGAACTCCCAAACGGAAATAGAAAACCCTTTGACAAGAAAAATAAGAAGTTGATGGATTTCGTTAAGCCTCCCAACTCTCACAAAATAGAACTTGTGAAATGGGAAATTCCTGCATGTATTCAGTTATAACAGTGGTCAACACTCCTCAATACTATTACTACTGCTGCAAACGTTTTAGTTTTGAAGTAGACTGCTGATCCATGTAGCTCCTCTTTAAGGACTACTGTCTCACTACCTACCACCCCTTCTCTGAGCTAACATAGTGGCCAGAAATAAAATAACAGCTCAATAGCTTACATACCAAGTTGAAGAACATGACCCTTGAGCGTATTTTTCTTTTTCTCATCAAGACAAGAGGTGACAACAACCAAGGGAATATATTGCAACCTGAAAATCATACATTGCCCATTAAGCCCTTTAGAAGAGTATTCCAGCATCAAATTTCTCCTTGTAATATCAATGCTTTGTAAAACAGAGTGGTCATGAGAATTATGGACATAGTCACACAAGATGAATTTTCTCAATATTTTATCAACTTCTCCCCACTTCTTCTTTAGGAAATGAACAGGGGGAACAAATGAGAATACCAATTTTGGTCTTAGGGTTTAAAGGGTTAAAAGGTATTGTAGCATAAGTAATGAAAAAATTATTTGTGGATAATCTTGAGACAAACAAAATCATTACTTTACACCTTGCTTTACAAAAATGTTCCTTACCTGTGATTATTGTTTTGAGTTAAACTGGAATTTGACAGTGATCACTTTACACGAAATAGTTACCTGTAGAGACTGTTGTTTTTTCCAAATAATAATTCATCACCACTCTTCACATTAACTGTCCCAGTGATTCTAATGCCATTTATAAAAGTCCCATACTTAGAGAAGTCTTCAAGAAATACTTGCGACACTTGACAAGGATCACCCTACAAAAGACCCACAAGATTTTTTAAAATATCTGTACCTGACCTCCTCTCCTTAGTGACTTGACTTTCCAAAATACCATCAATCAAGTCACTGCCAAGAAAATTATTTTGAAGAGTACTGACTATTAAAGACCTCTCATTTATTAATTAGACATTGGCATACCCAAGACAACAGAAAGATAAAATTTATCTGAGGAAAATTGAACTACAACACACCTACCAAAATCAGTAATAATCGTTTCCCCTTGGTAGGGCATTTGGAAGGCTTACAGTGTACAAGGATATTTTCTGAATTAATTCTCCAAAAAGATTACAGAAACTTTGAAAATAGAGTATTTTTTAGGGTTTTTGGGAATTCCAAGCAGATAATTAAATGTATCTTTTTACTTCTCATATTATTTTTTTCCTGAATATTTATTTTCTAATAAAACGTATTACATAATATTTTTAAATTTGACTTAACTTATGATGATTTTCAAAGTCAACATGAAGATTGGATGACAAAATGGGAATGTTAATAATCCCCAAATTCTCATGTTTAAAATCTGAAATTCTGATACATGTTTCTTACTCTCAAATAATCATCAACAAATAAATACAGTACCAACAATATTAATACATTAATTTATGCTTACTGTACTTTTTCACTCTATCTGGGTTATGCAACTTTAACTTGATGTAGTTTTTTTCTATATCACACATACCAGATTGGCCTGGTCATGTTGAACAGTTATGACACTGTGTTTCCGACTAATAGAAGCATCATCATGTATCAATATTCGGCAGTCTACAAAAAAAGGATTTCAGTTTGTGTTTTAATCAAAGAATGTTAACAGTCCAAAGAAAAGTGACAAGGTCATACACGTCTTTTCTACTGCACGGTAACAACTCAGACTAGATAGGCTTCATTAAAGATTCTTTTCCTCAAACCTGCTAATCTCCCCAGGCCAGATCCAGGTAAAAAAGGACTGGCAAATGACAAACAGCTAAAATCAAATGAGATTATAGTAACATTTTCCTTCTCATGTAACTAATTAAGTAACAATGGTACAATATTAATGGTGGCATGCAGTGGCATATATTTTCTTATTAAACACCAGAGACATCTTAGTCGGTCTAAGCAATAAACAAGGTCACTGTAATTCATCACTATTTTTCACTGAAACATATGTATTTTTCAAGTACATTACAAATTACATAAGCAGAACATGAGCGATGGCATAGCACATTGTGCATACTTAAAAAGAACTTGGCAGTGACCATGACTAATGAGCGAGAATCCGCACAATGCATTACGCAAATTGGCTTAAGTCTAACAACCGACACCTTTGCATGGAAGCATCCATGACCTCTCCTTCTTGCTAATAGGGAACTTAAGCAACAATGAAGGCAGAAGCCTAACAAAACGGCACTTAAAAAGTGAATTTGCACCGCTTCAAACTTTATTGCCCTTATTCCATCTCGTTTAATTCATCAAATTTGGAGTTTAATTCTAAAGGACTGTATCAAAGTTCAGGAAAAGAAAAGGAAAGTTGTTGTCTTGTGTTCCACTCCTTGAAAAAACGTGAAATTAGGCTCTTTTACATTGTAGTCGTGCAACAACGGCTAAGAAATGTACAAAAAAGCATGATGCATGTGCAAAGTTGTTACTTTGCCAATCTAAACCTATTGGTTTTTTCGCCGTTTATGTTGCCATCACTGTCATTGTTGCTTAAGCTCCCTAATATATTAGCTGAGTAAACGGAAAGTCACAAGACTACAATGTGTGTTTTTAACTGATGTATTCAACAATTATTAACATATATACGTTTTAAAGTCTATCACACTATCTCTTCACTGAAAGCAAAAAAATGCCATTTGTAACTGTTATTGGAAATTTGTGCTTAGAATCACAAAACGGAATTTCTGAGGACCTTAAGTATTAAAGTTTTCCCGGGGAGAATGCCTTATACCCTATGCCTTCCGCAGGCCATATAGTCAATCTACAATCCTTGTGACAAATCGATGAAACGGAAGCAATTTGTCTTAAATTTTCTCCAAATTTCGTACATTTACTCTTCACACCTTTGTTCTCACTCAAATGTGCCCCCTTTCCTTCCCCAATGTTGAGCCACGTGTATTTTGGAGCACTGATCGAGATGACTGCAATACCTAAATCAACATTGGGGAGGGGAAAATCACACAAGTGTTTCAAGATTTGTGACGAGTATTGTAGACAAAAGTACCACATTAGCAACCCCTCCATGCAAAAATGCTAGCTACGCCCCTGAAGTGCATATAAGATTTGCTGCCTACAGGACATGCCCTCCAACAGAAAACTGAAAAGGCCAACTGAAAACAGGCTGCTTACTTGATCACTGCGCGCTGCAGGACTACGGGAGAAGTTGATAAATATCGCTTTGATTGGCCGGGCCCAGAAACTTGACTATAATTTTAAGAGTTGAGTACCTTTTCTTCCAACCACATGTTGCACACCCGTGGTGAGCACAAGGCCTGCAAGTGGAAAAAGAAATAATTTTGTGATGATTTCCATGGAAATTTTAATTTCAAGTTCGATAAATATTTAAAATTCCATGTTACCTTTATTTTCTGACCGCGAGCTTTTCCCTCGTTCGACGTCTTTGATTAGAAGCCACATTCAAAGCGCGGAACCGACAACACAAGCTAAGGTTTATTCACGTATAAAACAACTGGGCCTTTTTTCAGCGTTGACCGCACAGGACTGGAGCTAGCGTGTTCCAGGCTCCAAGCGATCAAGCGTTACAAGCGCGGGGAGCTGTGAGACCTTGTAATGTGTGATGGGTTGTGATGGGAGGGTACTTACACTTTTTGCCATAACAAGAAAAAACTTCACCGGGTTTCATTTTGCATCTTGGTAATCATAATCCCAATCCCCTGTCTGTTAACCCCAACTTTCATTCGAAGTAGTAGAAATGAAAGATTTATATATTTGCCCCGGAGGAGAAGGGGCAATCATTCGTTCATTCAATGGTTCTCATCCATTAAAATCATCGTCAAGACAGCCCGAGGCTTCAAGAGAAAGGGTATATTTTATTTCTCGAGCGATCGCAAAGCTAAGGAGGAAGGTTTGAAGCAACGCACGTAGAACCTGATGAATAAACAATATTTCGGATGATACTTTTGGAATTTATCATCTGTACATGTGAACGTGCACTCTCACAGGTCGTCAAGTGATCCACGCGGCTGTTCCACGCTCTTTCCACGCGTGGAAACTCGGGGTTGCAATGCATCGAGGAATCATTTTATATGAAAATCATATTGACTCTTAAGACATTTCCAATACTTTCCAATAGCATTTCATTTTCAAATTCTCGGAAACAGAAATTTTAATCCAGAATTTCCGCCTGAAAACTTTTCGTGCTGCCGTGCACGGCATCAACTGGTGACTCTTTACACGTGTCTGTCGCGAACCAATCGATTTGCACGCCCTGACTCCGTCACACAGCACCTCTTCCGTAATATACCACGTCTGATTACTTTATAAGCAGCCTCAAAGCTTTGCACGGTACGTTTTTCTTCAGCTTCGTTTGGAAAAGGTATAGTTTTGGTGGTCATATTTTGTTTTCAGCTTTCAAAGCATTTTTTTATTGATTTTTTTCGCCTTTAAAATGGCCTTGTTTTATCAACAATAGTCTCGAATTTTAGGTGACCCATTTTTGTGAACGCTGACTTTTCTTGCAAATGTAATATTTCAGATAATCTCGTTCCAGTAGCCTCAGCGAAGGAAAATAGCTTTGAGAAATGGCTTCCAAACTACCGCCGAATTTCCCTGTTATCTATGGAAACTTTGAAGACTTACCTGTTAAGGTGCAGGATTTTGTGGCAGACAAAATCCACCTCTGCCAGCCCGACAATCTTCACATCTGCGATGGATCCAAAGAAGAAAACGAGGGACTTATCAAAGAGCTAATGGATGCTGGAATTGCGACTCCCCTGCACAAGCACGATAACTGGTAGGCTTATTTGGCTGTTTAGACCAAGGGGGTTCTGGAACGTGAAGTTTTCGAAATTGCGTGACTCTTTGCACGGCCGGTTGAGAAGTGAACCTTATTTTAAAGTCAAAAAACTCCCTCTTGTCTCTGGAAACCACAGGTCATGTACCGGATAATTGTTGAATAAGGTTGGAAAAGTTTTCCAGCACCAGTCAACGCGTCTTGGATACCCTTTTGCAGTCGGGGATAATTTGAAAATTATAATAAAAAAATATATCTCGGCAGTTTTTGTTTGACTATATAACCCCCACGCCTAAAGTCATTTAGTGCCCAAAATATGGACCTTTAAGCAAACTACCCTTGAATTTAGTCTTTCCGCTGGCTTTTATTTATTACCTCATGATATTGCATAAATTTTTATAGGATTGGTATAGGATGGATTCAACTTTGCATTTGATGCTATTTGCAGAAATGTAAACATTTTAGGCATCCTAGTGATGAATAGTTTCGACATACAGATATTTTACAGCAGCAACAATACGCTCTAAGAAAATTATTTTACTAAATTCATTTTAGCTTGAAGATATTTAGCATTACTTTTAAATATCCATCAGTAAGGTTTTTTATTTTTCTTTAGTTTTATGCATGATATTGAATAATACATTTATGGCGATAAAAAATTGAACCAATTTGTTAGGGATAATATTGAACAACAAAGTAAGTTTCCTGGCCATTCTTACAAAGTGTGCACTTAATTATCTCAAGTAATTATGCATCAGTCAATTCCAGCTGCACCCATCTCCCCCCCCCCCCCCCCCCCCGCTCATAAATTTAAAAAAAAAATTTTGGGGAAAAAAAAATGAAACAAATTTGTTAGGAAAAAATTTAAAAAAAAAATAAAGTTTCCTGGCCATTCTAAAAAATGTGGCACTTAATTTCTCAAAGTAATAATCCACAAGCAAATCCCACCGCCCCCCATCCCCCCCCCCCCCCCCCGGGCTACTGTGGGGCATTTGCCCACCTTTTCAGTCCCAGGGGTGGGGCATTTGCAAATTTTGTGCTGCCCAGGGGCGGGGCATTTGCCAACCCCAGGGCTATTCCCGAGCTTTTGGCATGCACGCGGTTTCCTGTCAGAATATAACTACACAGAGGATATTGGTGGAAGAAAAGCAGATAAGCTCATCTGTCAAAGACAGGAGGTTGTAAAGGCATGTTCTCAATTTTATGCGCGTATTTCTTCATTACTTATCAAGCCAGAATTACATAGCGAAACTCAGGAGCTACCGCCGTGAATCAACGTTTTTGGGTTAGTGAATAAAATTTCTGTTGCTATTATTAATTTTGAAGAACATCCTTTCATATTTATAACCTATATAACTTTACAGCACTCTATTGATTTTAATGTCACTAGTTTTATATCAATACTAAAGTCCTGGGGGGTGGCTGGGTGCAGTTGGAATTGACTGATGCATTATCAATATGGTACTTTTGTTTATGTTTTACTTTAAATGAACATTTCCTGGCTTGTACTTAATTATATCATTATTAGAACTGTTTTTTACTGTTTTTCCGTTTTTTCAGTTACACTGTTCGTACTGATCCCCGTGATGTGGCACGTGTGGAATCTAAAACATTTATTTGCACAGAAGACAAGCATGAATCAGTTCCACGAGCCAAAGAAGGTGTTGAAGGTCGGTTGGGAAAGTGGATGAGTGTCAGTGATATGAATAAACAACTTGGTGAAAAATATCCAGGCTGCATGAAAGGCAGGTTTTAATTACATCAGTTAGCTTTTATGTAATGAACTATCCACATTCTGATCATAATAAATTTCACATTCTTCAGTTTATCTGATTGCAAATGTGGTTCTGTTTTTCAGGCCGCACCATGTATATGTTGTGTTTCAGTATGGGTCCTGTTGGGTCACCTGTCTCTAAGATTGGTATTCAAGTTACTGATTCCCCTTATGTTGTTGTTTGTATGCGTATCATGACGCGTATGGGAAGCAACGTGCTGAAAGTTCTTGGTGACGGTGACTTTGTGAAGTGTCTTCACTCAGTTGGTGTTCCTAAACCTGCTCCCCCCTCTGACTATCCATGGCCTTGCAATCCAGACAAGACTGTCATCACTCACTTTCCACATGACCGTGAAATCAAGTCATTTGGCAGTGGTTATGGAGGAAACTCTCTTCTGGGAAAGAAGTGTTTTGCTCTCAGGATAGCAAGCACCCTTGCTCGTGATGAAGGATGGCTTGCAGAACATATGCTGGTATGTTAATTTCTTTTGGGGGTCCAGACAATCTGCGAGCCAGCAAGCCATAGAAAAGAATAGAGTTTTATGAAATTGTAAATACATGAAAAATGTTTCCTGAAAGTTCCCTATGGGTATGTGAGGTTTTGCTGTGGGAATATTTGCAGAATTAAGCAGTATTGGTTGATTTTGATTGATTAGGGTTAAGCACTCATTTCACTGACTGGGGTTAAGCACTGACTTGCTTTATGGATTAGGATTAAAAGCTGTTTAGTGTTAAACACTTTTGGATTAGGGTTAAGCGCTTTTTAGGGTTAAAAGCTCATTTCCAACAGTTAGCTTTTGGTTATTGTTTTCACTTTACTGCTTTTTGATTTTTTTTGTATTCTTCTTTTGCATGTCTCGCATGGCTTGCTGGCTCACACTGTATCCTAACTGTTTTGTGTAGGTGTAATGCTTAAATGCAGAGATACATAATTATTAAAGACACGATTCATCAACCTGTAAATTTATGAATCACCCTTAGCAGGCCACTACTTTCTATATAGTTAATGATATGTGTTGTTGTCAAACTATTCTTGGCTCCTAAATGAGTGTTCCTTTGATAAATTTTTCTGCTCCTTTTAAGATCATGGGCCTTACAAGTCCAACAGGGGAGAAGAAATATATCACAGGTGCCTTCCCCAGTGCTTGTGGAAAGACAAATCTAGCCATGATAACACCCACCATCCCTGGCTGGAAAGTTGAGTGTGTTGGAGATGACATTGCTTGGATGTGGTTTGATGAAGAAGGTCAACTACGAGCTATCAATCCCGAAAGTGGATTCTTTGGAGTTGCACCAGGTTCCTCATACCTAACAAATCCAATTGCCATGAAGACTTTCCAGAAGGACACTGTATTTACTAATACAGCTGAAACCAGTGACGGTGACTTCTGGTGGGAAGGTAATAATATAAAAAGTAAACTCTGTTGTATAATGAAGGGGAGGGGGAAGTGCTATTGTCAAGTGGAATTCCAGAAATATCCACAACCTTCTCTTGCGTTCCCATTTTGAGACATCGATGTTTACTTTCAAGGGTAAAATATCCCTGAATAGGGTGATTTTAGACAGGAGAACCCTAAGGGATGGGTTGGGTTGACTCAATAAGTCATTCTTTTGGAATGAAACACCAGGTTGCAATAAAATTGCCGTCCAATAGCCTGGGCTATTGGAATGACCTATCTGCTAACATGTTGTAATTATTAGATGTCCGATGGGGAAGCAAGATTTGCAGAGGTAAAGTAAATGTTATTGAAAAGGGGGCTTTGTAAGCTTGAGTACTCTTCACTAGTAAACTTAAGCAATAGCTTGCCTGAAGGGCAAGTGAATTTTTTAATTTTCATCTCACCCTGAGCACACCACACTTGGTACATTCATTAGGTAAAAAAAGGTTGCTTTACAGGGTAGTTGGTTACGTCCCATCTGTGTACAGATCTTATTATTTTTCTGTTTTTTCTCAGGACTGGACCTACCAACAGATGTGACTATAACTAGCTGGTTAGGAGAGAAGAATTGGAAACCACACACTGGCCCTGAAACTGGCCCCAAAACTAAAGCAGCACACCCCAACTCTAGGTTTTGTGCCCCAAGTGATCACTGTCCAATTATGGACAAGGACTGGGAAAATCCTAAAGGAGTTCCCATAAGTGCCATTCTTTTTGGTGGCCGACGCCCTCAAGGTGTGCCCTTGGTCTTCCAGTCATTCAACTGGCAGCATGGTGTATTTATTGCATCATCAATGTCATCTGAAGCTACATCTGCTGCCGAACACAAAGGCAAAGTAGTGATGAGAGATCCTTTTGCAATGAGGCCATTCTTTGGCTACAACTTTGGCAAATACCTGGAGCACTGGTTAGGCATGGAGAAAAAAGGACGCAACATGCCAAAAATTTTTCATGTGAATTGGTTTCGCACAGGAGAAGATGGCCATTTCCTGTGGCCAGGTGAGCTATTGCTAAAAGTTATACAGAAATAATGTAGTAGACCTTATTCTAAATGTTGATAACTTTAGTATCCTTTCATGTTATGCTAAGTAGCCAACGTTATTCCCAGGTTCTCTCACCTACCCGTCCCTAAGTAGCCTCTTTGCCACAGTCACATTTGCAAAATTCAATAGTGGACTTCTCTGATAGGAACATCAACAATCTACGTCTTTCTTTTAATCTTGAAACGATGTGTTCAAATTTCCCTTCCCCAATGGAAGAGAAACCAATCCATCCCCTTATATTGCCCAACGTATTCCCCTACCCTGGGGCCCTGGGGCAAGCCGAGATACTCATCAGACGTGCCCACCAATCAGCAGAATATTTCGTTTGTTGATAGGATTTGGTGAGAATTGCCGTGTCCTTGAGTGGGTCTTGAAGCGTTGTAACGATGAAGACGTGGCTGACCCGACTCCTATTGGCTACGTCCCTAAACCAGGCACCATCAACACTGACGGCCTTGATAAGCCTGTAGACATGGAGAAACTTTTTGCCATCCCAAAAGATTATTGGCTGGAAGAATGTGAATCCCTTCGAAAGTACTATGAGGAACAAGTTGGTGAAGACTTGCCGAAAGAGATCACAGATGAACTGAACGCCCTTGTAGCACGTCTTAACGCTGCTTAGGGTCATGTCTACTAGCCTTCAGCTTGTTCAGTAGTTTGTCATGAACATGAAAGTAGTTAAAAAGATATATGCGGACAAATCAAAGAGAAAGGTCATTGGCAAACATGTCCCATTTTTAAGAGTGTTTGTAAATGTGTTTTGATCGGTTTACGTAACAATTTCTTTTTTGTCACCCGTTACAAAGAATTACCAATTACAAGAACAGCCCCAACAATAACTGAAGTAAACTCTGTAGCATTTTTCCTCGAGTTCTTGTTTAGTGGTTCTCTGATAAAAAATTGAGATTTCTGTTCTTTGTAGACGTGTTCTTATATTATGTGCTTGGTTTTGTTTTATTAAAAAATAAAGTTAACTTGTAACCTTTGTTTCTTGAGTATGATAGTTCACAAACCCCGTAACTGACTCGGCTGTAAAGTAAGAAGTCTGTCCAAGGTGCTATCGCCGCGCATTAGAGGCCGCTGAAAGTAAATTTAACACAACTTAACAACGCAACACAATTTAACAACGCCGGAGCATTAATTGAGCGCGAATCCTTATTCCACAAATTCAAAAGTTTGAAATGCATAGATGCATGCAGTCTTCATAATGGACTCTTTCGGGAGGTTGAAGACGTGTCAGCCGATATCAGCTCGTCCTCACTTTCAGCGCTTTTAACAGAGGCTAATTTTTCGCAGTTGCATTGACTACTTTTCGCACGCCAGTGCATATTGCAAAAAAGTGGTCTTTGCTCGCACAGGCCCTTACCACTAGGGTAACTTCGAAAGTGTTATTCTAAAAACCGCTATCCAGAAAATAAACAAACGCGAGAATACATGCAGTCGATAATGCAGTCCATTTTTGGAAGGGCCACCTTTAGGTGGGCTCGGCCCAAGGCCCTCTTAACCCTAAATCCCGTGCTCTTGAGCAAAACATGTATGCTCGCACTAGCTCGCAGGGCCCGTAGTTTCCTATTTTGTAGGGGTCTGCACAGATGAGATGAAAATTAACGAGACAAGGACCGTTTATACGTGCGAATACATGTCGGGTCCCCACAATATTTTTAATCCGTAACGAACCGAATTTTCTTTAGTTTGCCCTAACCCTGAAAGCATCAGGTAGGTCTTTTGTTTTTTATTATGGCTGTTGGTTAGAAAATGCCGGGGAGTTTTATTTTGTACCAGTAGTGTGTAATAGGGAAAAAGTATGGGGAGTTTTAGCAACTTGAAATTGTCCACAGTTTTTCTCTTCAAATTGGTTGCGTAGATTAGTTATTGCCAAAATGAGACGATAAAAAATGACTTTTCTCTGTTGTTCGTAAGAGTGGCAGTAGTCATGACACTATTGAAAGGGCATGTTTGTGGTGCTTGTTCCTCCATGGCTTCTTCTTTAAGCTGAGATACGAAACTGATAAACAACACGACCACAAATTTAAAAACTGGAAAAACGGACACAATTCCCGTTTTAGTCAGTGGAGCCGGGTTAGAATTTTGCGCGTAACTTATGACCGCCAAACAAACTTAATGACAGGATGAAAAAGAGAGACGAAAGAAACGGTGGGAATGACTTCCGAGTTTTTTTTTTCTGTCACAAACCTTTGAATCATGAAGACTCGGGCACGTGAGACGGACGAGTGATCTAGCAAGCGCATGCACACAAGCCCCGAGCATGTTCTACCGTTTTGTTATTTGATTTCTCTCTGGTTGTACTTTATTTATGGTTAGTTTCAAACTCATATTATTTTTATTCTCTTTTCATTTTTACTATCCTTATATTCCTTCAGTCAAGGATTTGGTACAGTTTCTGTCAAAGTTTTTGTTCAGTGTTTAGCTTCTCTATTTCATGTGACACTTGTATATCCATCTGTTTGGGCCACTATCAAACATTTTCGACAAAATCGAACAAAATCATGGAGCGCACCTTATGTCGCCTTTGACCGTTACTGTGAAGCCGATGTCACTTCAGACTTCAGAGCGACATTTTTCTTTCGTCTTTTTCTTGGTTGTCAAAGAATGCGTGTGACTTGATTCGACTTAAGGAATCGCAGAAAAAGAGTAGCTTAGTCTGTCAAGAATTCTCTTAGTGCATGGAACAATACAAAAAAGTTTGTTTACAAAGCTTGATAAAGAAGCAAGGCTGATTGTACAGCTATGAGAATGTCTATTGTTGGGGCGATTGTGATATCCCTAAATTTACTTTTCCATTTACCAATTCTCGGTTCCTTACTCATGTTTCACAAACTCACGCGCCTTTTTTGGATTCAAACCGTGGACGGAAGTCCAGTAAACTACATCATCGTAAATCACTTACCGTAGTGTTCTAGGATCCTTTTTCCAAGTTTAAACAAAGCTGGAATTGGCACCGCAATCGGGCTTTTACGTCTTGACTGCTTACTTGAGGATGAGTTTACAAATTGCATGCTTTGTAGTAAAAATAATTATACTTTATTCAAATACATATATGCATATAAACATGATACATGATACAAATCAGGCACCCAGGCCTATCCCTATACTGAACCTTAAAAATATTTAAACATTTAAAAAGACGCGCGTAAAAATCATTAGTGCAGGTACACTGAAATGGTATACCTGGTATACTGTGTCAATAAACCTTCATCCATCTTTTTAAGCCTTTTTTAAAATTTGTTAACGTTAATTTCGTCGGTGAAAAGATGGTTTGGCAAACTGTTCCAGTCTTTGACGATTCTCAAAAAGAAGGAGTACTTAAAGGAGTTAACTTTGGCTAATTTAGTTTGTGTTTTGTATGGATGGTTGGCTCTAGTGTTTTTACTTCTACAAAACTCGAAATAGTCATTAAAGTCTAGGCCATTTAGACTAAACACTGTCTTGTACCATTCCACCACAGATAGGTATTCTCTTCGATGCTGAAGTGTGTTCCAGTTTAGCAATATACATCGTTCTTCATATGACATCTCGCGTGGTTTTTGACTGCGAGCGATTCTCGATGCTCTTCGTTTTACTTTTTCGATTGCCATCTTGTCTTTAACTAAATAGGGCGACGCGACCATACCAGGCATGCGTATTCTAGGAGTGGTCTAACCAAGGACTTGCGGAGCATAGAGAAAATTTCCCCGTTCTTGCTACCAACTGTACGCTTTAGTAGGCCAACCACTTTCTTTGCTTTATTTACAATTACATCCACGTGACTCGACCAGGATACGTCTCTTGACACATGAACGCTCCCCGGGGGGGTACTCCCTTATATAAGCCATATGGGTATGTGCCGCATCATCGGGTAGGGTTTTTGTGCCGTTTTGGTCTGAAAACGGTTATACACTTTTCCCATTTTGGTCTGAAATAGGGTGTGGTTTTCGAGGGAACTACAGGAGGAGTGTATGAAGGTATTTATCGTTTCAATTCCAAATGAGTAAGAAAGAAAGAGAAATATGCGAATTCGAAATGGATTTGAAGAATTTGTTTGTTTGCGCTCCAATCTCTGAGTTATGATAACATAATTTCCGCCAAAGGCCAGGTCTGAAAACGGGTATAGATTTTAGACTGTCTGGGGGCCCGTTTCTCGAAAGTCCCGGTAACTTTTCGGGCCCGAAATCAAATATTCAAATCGAAATATAAAGAATAAGAGCGCGGGTACTGGCTAGGAAACTACTCCATTTTGTTTCACTAACTGATAGTTTTATCATGTTAGATGCAAAACTATTGAAACCAGGATCTTTAATGTAAACGGAGACAGCTTACCGGGCCCGTTAATTATCGGGACTTTCGAGAAACGGGACCCTGGTCTCAAAACGGGTGCGGAAAATAACACTTTTTGGTCTGAAATCGGGTCAGGATTTGGAGAACAGGGCGGCACACCCCACCAAGAATTCCCAGGGGTACCCCCCACCCCCCCGCCCCGGATGAACACCCAGGTCCTTGCATGAATTAACTGATTATTAATCTGTATTCGATAGGTAATGAGGATGTTTACTTTTGTCTTGCTTTTACGTAATTCTCATCACTTAAAATCAAGGGACCCAGTTGAGTTTTATTTTTCCCTCCATCGTGACAATGTTCTTCGTAGCTCGCTCCCCCTGGCCTTACGTCCAGCTCCCTCAGCACTCTCACATGGTCTGATAATGACAACATCTTATTATTTCATATCCTTACTCAAGCTTAAGATATTGATAACGCATCTAGAAACCCAGGAGGCCATTTGGTAATTGGCTTTTTTTTTTAGAAATAATGATACAATGATAATTAAGGTAATGGCTCTATTATTCATGAAGGGGGAAGATTGACTATGTTGTTTGTTGACATTTCTTGCTCGCTACAAGCAGGTGTGTATTTGAGGATGTTTCAATGATACTAATTCTAATAAAGTCCAACTAAAATTTTGATGGAATTGTGAATAAAGTAAAAGGAGCTCGCGTGACGTACTGGGCTTACGCACAGGGAACTTGCGCAATGATGAAAACCAATCAAAAAGCTTCTTCTATTGACGCCGGTTCCCTCCGACCTTTGGACTAACTCGTCTGGGAGGCATTTTAACTGGCTTTTCGCGGCGACGTTTCCTAGGAAAATTACCGCGTACACGTTTACAATAACCATCCACCGTATCTTGTATATATTTATTTCTGAAGTACTAACTACGATGTCATTTACATCAGTTATCTCGCGGTAAGATGAAGACCATTCTCTCGTGTTCTAATGTAAAAATTATCGTAGTCGAATGTTTGTTTGTGAGGTCATGTAATGTCATAACGTCTTTCTACGTTCTTATCATAAAGATAATGAATTTTCTTGTTTTTCCATTTTATTCACAAGATTTTCATCGTTAGCCGTTGCGCCCTCCTCTTGTTTTACGCTACGTCATTGCCTAGTTCTACGGAGAATGGCTTCACAACTTCCAGCCGGTTGTACTGTCGTGCGAGGACAGTTCGAATCTTTACCCGCCAAAGTGCAAGAATACATTGCTGACAAAGCCGAACTGTGCAAGCCGGACAATATTTATATTTGTGATGGATCGAAAGAAGAGAACGAAACACTTGTCAACGAGCTGATCGAGTCTGGTGTAGTTCTGAAACTTCACAAATATGACAACTGGTAAGCTTGTAATAGATTGCGTTATTTTCATGGCAATGTTCCGCATGTAGTTAGTCTATCACGATTTTTTATTTTATCAAAAAAAGAAAAAGTTGCACTGTCAGTAATCTTGTGTTGATTTTACTTACACTGATTCACACCTTAAGTACCCAAGATGTCCCACAGAAATACTAAAACAAAGTTTCCTTCTGTTTTATCTTTTGACTAAAGCCAAAGTATTTTCACTTCTAATCGTACTCAGTTTTTTGATCGAAAACTCGTCTCATCCCGCAGCATTTTGGCTCGAACTGATCCTCGCGACGTGGCGCGTGTCGAGTCTAAAACATACATCTGCACTGAAGACAAGCGAGAATCAGTACCACAGGTCAAAGAGGGAGTTAAAGGACAGTTGGGCAATTGGATGAGTATAGCGGCTATGAAGAAAGAGTTGGATAAAAGATTTCCTGCGTGTATGAAAGGTATGTGCGATGATTGTGATGCTCCAGTGATGCGGATGTGAAGTCATATTGTAAAATCATCGCATTTAAGTCTTCATATCACAATTTTGCTCTGTGTTACATGGTTCCATTTGTATCAGGCTGTTTTCGAACGACTTTTTCGTTTGCGAATTCAGAAAAATCCAAACTTCATAGTCGTGCTGTCATGATGATGGTTTGCTTGTCTTCTGTTTTGTGATTGGTTTAAGTTAGGAGGTGTGTCAAGGGGCACGCCACGTAAATAGAATATTGTTAGGTGCTTGTAATGATCAAAGGTCGTTTTGAGTCTTCTCGCATTTAAAATATGTCGAAAATAGTGCTCCTTGTCTCATAAAAGTTCTCCTAATATCTTACTTGTAGAAACAGATTTTTAATAATAAAAAAAAAATTATGAGATCTTGGTGGATTTGTTTTTAATTTGGTTACTGTTGAGTAGAGTTCAACATTTTTGTCAAATGCTGTGTCATGTTAATTTCTGATGCACTTCCTGAAACTAATATCATATCACGTTGAATCATTAGTTATATTTGACATGTTGTATTTCAAAGAGCTGATTGAAAACACTTAAAATGTTTGTTTGTTTTTTTGGGTCATATTTGCCATATTCCTTTTACATTCTCAGTGGTTGCTCCCTTGTTATTGTACAGGGAAACCCTGTCTTACCCCACACTTCTTCCTGGTTTCTCTTATAGATCCACAAGCAGCAAATACACTTTAGCTAGGATAATCAGCATAAATTTCTTGTAAAGTGTGCATGCTGTGTGTTCATTAGTTGCAGTTGCCTTATTTTGACTTTAAAAATACTAAGGGCTTAAAGTGCCTGGCTGCCTGTCTGTTATTAAGCTGTATAAGCTATACATATTATGTTTGCCTTCCTTCTTCAATCTGTAAGGGAGGAGGGATGGTGCATTAGCGAGAGCACTCCCCTCCAACTAATGTACCATGGGTCTGAGTCCCAACATTGACATCATAATTATGCAAGATTAGTTTTGAGAGGTTTCTCTCAAGGAAGCATAGTTTTCCTCTATAACGTGTCCAAAATTCCAATGGAAAGTGTCTCCAATCAGTTGGAGTCAATTAGACTTGCCACAAGTCGACTGTATGAGCACCGAAGGCACAAGGGACACTTGCAAAGCGAGCGACGTAAGTCACAAGTCGACTTATTCCGTCTGCAGAAGATTGAATTTAATTTCAATAATGTTGGTGCAAAAAATGGTTTGGGTGTAAGTTTGAAAGCCTGCTGAAGTAAACAGTTCTCATACGACTGGCTGTTGACTGACTGGAGATTACCTGACCTAAAACAAAACTGTTTCTGTATTCCACTTTCTTAAGTCAGTCCCGGGGTCAATCTTCAACCAAAATTGAAGGAAGCAACTTGCATCTCGTGTGTAAAGTCTTTGAAATTCGAATTTTCACTGAAGTCTTCTTATGGACCACTCTAAGACGTCAGCCCTCATGAATGTAGATTTAATAAAGAAAACTGTTCGACTGAAATTATTTGTGAAAACTGTGCCAGAAGCAATGAAAATGTAGTGGAAAAGGTCCTTTGAATAAAGGAACAATATTTAATACCTCGTTCAAAGAGAAGCTGGCAGCGGACGTTTCTGCTGTTGTACGCGATATGTTTTCAAATGGCGAGATGTGAAATGTCAGTCTTTTTCCTAGATTTGGCGATACAACCATCAAGAAATTCAAAGAAATCTTGACCACTAACACACCCTTCTACCACTATGCTTTGATTCTCTCTAATTTATTTGAAGCCTTGTTTGAAGCTAAGTTTCCTTAGACCTGCTGGCGTTAAATCCCTTTGTGAACATTCATTTCTTACGCTTCCTTCACTTCAAAGCCAAGCGAGTGCCAAGCCAAGGAATCGCCTGGATCAAGTTTACCAAGAACTAATGTCACAAGATCACACTGCCGACCAGAAAACTGGTCAGTCAAAAATAGCGTGCTGCAGGCGAGAAAAGTCAGTTTCCCGACTGACCACCTAACCAGTAGAAACCGGAAACGGCTTTGAGAAAGTCTAGGAGACAATATAATATTATCATTAGCAGGCCTCGCTTTTATCACTTTTTGGAAGTCAAGTGTTACACACTAAATAAATCTTTGTTGTTGTTTTTTTGTTCATCCACATTATTGTTGCCGTAGCACAGATGCAGTCAGTTATAAACCACAATTCAGATCTAGGGGTCATATGTCTTGTGTTTCACTTGCATACTGAAGGTAGCATCACAGTTATCTTTGAAACTAACCCCTTATCGCATTTAGTATGACTGACTGCAGTATTTGTTCATCCTTTTCAGGTCGCACTATGTATGTAATGGCATTCAGTATGGGACCTGTTGGATCACCAGTTTCTAAGATTGGCATTCAACTAACTGACTCTTCCTATGTTGTGTGTTCCATGCGTATTATGACACGGATGGGTGCTGATGTGATGAAGGTTCTTGGTGATGGTGACTTTGTGAAGTGTCTTCATTCAGTTGGTGTACCTAAACCTGAACCACCTTCCCAGTACAAATGGCCTTGCAATCCAGACAAAACTATTATCTCGCACTTTCCCCATGACCGTGAGATAAAGTCATTCGGGAGTGGTTATGGAGGAAACTCTCTTCTGGGAAAGAAGTGCTTTGCTCTCAGGATTGCAAGCACCATAGGTCGTGATGAAGGATGGCTTGCAGAGCACATGTTGGTATGATAAAGATTAATTTAAACAAATTTGAATTCCTTGATTATTATGTTGTTCTGGTAACTTTCATGTCTAATATTCATCAAAATGATATAGTTTGTAATTAAGGGGAAGTTTGAGACAGTCATCCGCTGGGTTCCTCCTTACTTGATAGTACAGCTTATGGAAACTTTTTCTTCATTTAGATATTAGCTCTTACAAGTCCCAAAGGAGAGAAGAAATATATTGCTGCTGCATTCCCCAGTGCTTGTGGTAAAACTAATTTAGCCATGATGACACCAACGTTACCTGGCTGGAAAGTTGAGTGCGTTGGAGATGACATTGCTTGGATGTGGTTTGATGAAGAAGGTCAGCTGCGAGCTATCAATCCTGAATTTGGATTCTTTGGAGTTGCACCAGGGACATCAGACAAGACAAACCCAGTTGCCATGAAAAGTGTCACTAGTGGAACCATCTTTACAAATGTGGCTCTAACAAGTGATGGCGGCTTTTGGTGGGAAGGTAACCAGAAAAGTGCAGTGTACGAGCATACAGTAGTTTTCATGTTACCTTTTATATGCTTCTTAAAAATCTTCAATGATTGAAAATACATTAAGTAGCTAGTAGCTTAAACTATTGTTACTTTCTGCCTCCCATGGAACAAAATTAAACATTTTGGTGAAAGTTAGGTCTGTAAAGCCATACTTTGTGAAGGACAGCAGGAACATTATCATGAATTTCCAGAGAGGACGTTTTCTGGAATTGTACCCCACAATCTTGGTTTGTTGTGCTCTTATTCTTATTTGTCAACTGATGTTGGTACACTCAGTGACCATTGCTTACATGTAGTTTACTCCAAAGAATTTTGGGCTAATGTGGGATAATACCCAACAGGGTTCTCATTAAGTGCTGGCAACCAGCTAAAAAATCAGTTTCTTTGAATATTGAGCCATCTACGTTTTGGGGATAAAGGGTAGTCTGTACATATCAGGTGAGAGAGTGAAAGTGTGAAATTGTCTTCAGTACTCAGCTGTCTAATTGCGTACTTTAACATCCTATGTAGCTGTTTACTCTAAAATTTAATGACAACCCTGACCCAAAGTTCTGTTTATCAGAGTACCTGCTAGCAAGGCTAAGATGTGAATTGTTGTTGTTTGTTGTACAGGTTTACCTGTACCAGAAAATGTTAGTATCACAAGCTGGTTAGGAGAGAAAGACTGGAAGCCTGGCAACACCAAGGGGGCACATCCAAACTCCAGGTTTTGTGCTCCAATCAGCAATTGCCCAGCCATGGACAAGGATTGGGAGAATCCTAAAGGTGTTCCTATCAGTGCAATTCTCTTTGGTGGCCGACGCCCTATGGGAGTTCCTCTGGTTTATGAAGCATTCAACTGGCAGCATGGTGTGTTTATTGCGTCTGCCATGTCATCTGAAGCTACAGCTGCTGCTGAGCATACGGCAAAAACAGTAATGAGAGATCCTTTTGCAATGAGGCCCTTCTTTGGATACAACTTTGGCAAATACATGGAGCACTGGCTGAGCATGCCAAAGACCAAAGGCCGAAGAATGCCAAAGATTTTCCATGTAAATTGGTTCCGTCTTGATGCAAATAGAAAGTTCTTGTGGCCAGGTTAGTACCTAAACAAACCAGTCTCATAATTATTGTACTGAACAGTTAGAGAGTAGTTTATCATGGTCTGATCATCAAGCTCTTAAATGTTAGCTTCTTGACCAAATAATAGTCATCCTTTTTTGTCTGAAATTTTAAACTGAAAGCATTTTATGGTTCTGGTGAAGGTAGGTCAAGATTAACACCTTTTACAAGAATCAAAGTGATATAATTTCACCAATATTATTACATTACCCAGGGCTTGACGTTGCGACCCGTGGGGTCGCCAATGTGACCAGCTTCTACTCAGTGGCGACTAAATTTTCACGCCTGGTCGCCAATCTGGCCCCCAAGATAGATGACTTTCTTCTTTGGGAAAACATACACTAACGATAATTTGTTATCCTTCACAAAACCAACAGATAGCTAACAGTTTTGCTAATGTTCCAATGTTTTGCCCAAATGCTCTAATGGGTTGTCAAAACGTTTTAATGATTTCTTCCAACACTCTAACAGATTGTTCTTATAATCTAACAGTTGGTCCGTCTAATGTGTGACTTTTACTTGAAAGAGGATTGTGAAAATCACAAGTGATGAATTGGATGGAAGTCTTATAGACTTTTGGGCAGATTGATCGCAATTCTCAACAGGTCGTCCAGTGTTTCTCCGGGAATGACTTTTAGCGGATTGATTTCAAACAATCTCTTAATGTCGAACATGTATCTCGATTGTGGACTTGATGGCAGATTAATCTGATATAAGCTTAAGCTAATTGAGAACGAACGGCTCTTATTTCTTGAGCTTCTTGTAAACAACTTTATTGAATTTCTGTTGAGCTTGACGACCCCAATAAAAGCTCTGCCGTATTTTATTGACTTCTAATGAAGTACCGTTGAACTCATGCTGTTTGTCTCACAGACTTCTTGCGAAATCAACTTCTTTGCCCGATGCATTAGCGACGTTTCCTCTTTCCGGAGACTTTTGATCATGTGCTACGCAACCGCGGAATAGATCAAGTTTCACCGATGTTCATTTCTGATCATGAAAATGCATGGGATGCAAAACAAACTTTGCAGATTTTGTTCTTTAATAACCCAAATAAGTTTTCTTGTGATTTCTAAAGTTTGCTTATGTAAATGTGTATTCCATTGCTTGAATACTTGTTTGAGTAGATTTACACTTGAGTGCGGGTTCATTTTCACGAACACCAGCTAGTAATCGAGCCTCTAGCGAAAACTGTTCGAAGGAAAGTTCAAAGGAAGTCTAAAGAATTCTTTTTCTGGCAAGGCTAAGTAAAAGTTGTTAAGTTTATTGTATTCTGTTACCGGTAGTTCTTAAAATAATATAATTTTTGGCGACTAGAATACTTGTTCTGGCGACCAAAAATGAAAACTTGGGGGCCAGCTGGCCCCGAGATTTTTTTCTGAAAGTCGAGCACTGTTACCTGAATATTTCAGTCTTATATGTATCTATAAACTTGATGTAATTCTTTTTTTATACAAAGTGCTGACAACCTTATCTTAAACTCCATTGTTGCTTTTATTTTGAAGGATTTGGAGAGAACAGCCGTGTTTTGGAATGGGTTACTAGACGTTGTAATGGAGAGGATATTGTTGATGTTAGTCCCATTGGATTCATCCCAAAGAGTGGTACGATAAACACAGAGGGCCTGGGAGACATAAACATGGAAGAGTTGTTTAGCATCCCTAAAGACTACTGGCTGGAGGAGTGTCAGTCTGTCCGTCAATACTACGATGAACAGCTAGGAGAAGATTTACCACAACCTATTTTAGATGAATTAAATGCCCTTGAATCAAGGCTAAATGCACTTTAAAAGGCTCTCTTGATAGTAATAGAAAATAATGAGCATTGTGCTGTTGAAAAATCTAAATTATATTCATTTTTTTATTTACTGTACATCCAGCAACCATGAAAATCCTGGTGAAGACTGAGTTAATATTGACAGGAAAAAGAACAAGGAATACGTGAAAAAAAGTGAAATTCCTTGCTGGCTGTGCAATGGTCTGGATTATTTACAATTGTTTGATCCTTGCGGAGGGAGGGTCAAAAAGTGCCTAGTTTAGTATGTCTGAAATTCCTTGTGTAGTCAAACAAATAGCATGGTTCATGACTCACAGATGCTAAAATCACCAAGCTGCTGTGAAGAAGACTTAAAAACCATTATGCAGGATTTTTAAATGCTTGGAGCTCTGTTACAGCGTACCCTACATGTAAAGCAAATTATCTTGAAAATGCAGCAGTGTTTTTAACAGGTTAGGTGTCAGTTTTTGGAGCTTGTCATTTCATGCACAGACTCTACTTTTGTGCTAGTGAGCACTTAAAGGTAATGCAATCCTCCGTAATCCCAAAAATCTTATTATTTTTGCTAGTTCTAAGATAATATTGTAATATTTCATAATTAAATATGATAGTACTAGGTGCAAATTAGGCATAATTGAATGATGATTTCGCAAGTTAATTATCACAGACCTTTAGTTAGCACTTCTTCAATGTATTTTGAAAAACACTGATATTATGTAAATCAGAACAAAACAAAAAGAATACACACTGTAGTTCCTTTCATGGACAGAGGACTTTTTGAATGGCCCAAGCTGTTTTGAGATAGGTGATCATAATAGAAACATAAAATGTATGGAACAACCGCAGAAGGTACTGTGGGAAGTTTTAAGCTCATGGTTCCCTTCGGCATTTGTGGGAGACCTGAGAAAATGGCACAAGACAGCATGTAGATATGTTTGCAAGTGTTCAAAGAAAGCAACAAAAGTAGATTTGACAGCTACAGTGTCAAAATTGAAGCAATACTGTATGCTGGTGTCATCTTAGCTAAGTGACTTCATTTCTTAATTTCTAATTCTGATATTTCAGTGAAAAGTTGTTTCCCAAGTGTTAACAAAAATTATCATTAGTAATTAGTATTGCATGTGAACTCTATTCAGACTGAAGTAGACAGTATTTCTAGCTAATATTATTATATACAACAAGTTGACTTTGATATAATTAATGAAAAGTTTTCTTTGCTGTTGTAGCGGTTGTTCTAATTTCACCTCTCCCAAAAATTAACTTCATCTCTGTAGAAACTAGGCACCACCACAAAGATGTTTGTATTTATTTGACATAAATTATTAAAATTAATTGATTATGTCCCAAATTACCTTTCAAGATAGTAGTGTGAATTCTTCTGCTTTTTTGACAACCCCTCTCTAAACAACCTTGTATATCTTTTTTGTGTCATCAATAATATTATTTTATTGTTAAGCATTTGGTAGAGTGGTGCACAGGGTAGCAATTTTTTAGGTTGCTGGTAAAATTCATCTCTACAATAAGAACTGGTAAAGGAAGATTTACTTGTCAATAAAAATATTCTCTTTGCTTCAAAATATGAGTAGTGTCGGTTGTTACAGCCCTGTCTGGATCTGTGGCCGGTTCACCGTAGATCCATCCTTTCCTACTGTAGCATTGTATTTCCCAGTTTTGCCCACCTGACAACCTAGTCTATTTTCATATGCACAGAGTTTTAAAGAGAAAAAGAAACGAACTGACAAAAGATTGGTGGTCATCAAGGCTAACAATGAACAGTTTAGGGATATACCAGTGCAACTCTTAACAAAAAAAGAAAAATATACTCCAATAGAGTATGACGTCTACCCTTACACAAGATGTTGAGCATCCTCTCATTCTCATATGAGAGTTCCCCCTAGAAGAAAACTAATGCCTACTGGTAGTTGAAATTATGTCACATTTCACATGTGCCAAATTTAATGCTTATGAGAAAAACCTATTGTTCTCACTCATTGCATCAGATTTTCCTCTTTGAACTTGGTCTTAGTATTTTTAGGTGAAAAAAGAACTTTAAACTTAAACAACTTTGAATAATGAATCATTCCTATGCAAAGAGTGCCATTTCTGAACAAGAAAATGGAAAAGAAACTAATAATAATAAAAATAATTTGCCTACAATGCAAGCATATTTTATATGTGGCAAAAGCTGCTTGTTTATGTTGCTTGCACTGCCATCTTTGATTATAACAGAGGAAGATTGGGGAGGAATAGCCACCCTTGGGGTAGGTGTTGCTAGGTGAAAAGAAAGAGGCAGAAGAGGAGAAAGGTTCTCTCTCTCTCTCTCCTTCCTTTCTGCCTTTGACTCAGCCCAACTCCTTGGCAATCCTAGACTTTCCTTGAATAATTTCACATGGCAGCTGATTACATGAGCAGAACTTTTATGCATCCAAGGAAAGTGCATTCAATGCAGGCTAGCGAAAAATTAACAGAAGTAACCAAATCACCACTCACTACTTCAAAACAAGAATGCTCTTGACAGCAGTAGTTAGTCTCGCTTGCTGGAGATTAGATAAGACATGAGGTGGTGATTAATAATATTCTACACGAAACAGGATTTACTTGCCAAAGGTTTTTCACTTCCTACTTTATCAACGGTAGAGTATTCTTCAGGATATTTACTCTTCATGTGTTATTCAACGATTTGTTTCTATGGTCGCAGAGCTTGCCAGAGATCAAAAACGTGCAATGAACATGGTGCCTCATCTCAATCATCGCCAAAACTAAGCCGCATGCTCATCACAAGACTCATTTGTATACAATGAAAGTTTACGACACTCACCATTGAAGTGTTGCTAATTAAGATTCTTCTGTTTTTTTCAACCACTGAAAAAAGTGGTCACCTGTTCCAAAGTAATCAACATGTTCAGGCGATAGAATTCGTGGACCGTCCCGTTCCGGAAAAGCTCTAAATTGCATTAATCTTGACAAAACATGCCTGGTTTCAGTCACGTAACGATTCTTATCCCAGTTTCCATGGTCTCCGCTAGTACACTGACTTCCTTTTTGTGTCCTAAATATTAAGAAGATAAATGGCTTGAAGATTATGACTCTCAGTGCTAGGCAACCTCGAGTAGTAACGTTAATGTTCGAAGATTTCAATCTTTGATTCTAAAGAGGAATTTGGATTCTAATTATGCAATCGTGAGTTCCAGATTACTGAAAGTAATGGAAGACTGAGTATTTTGACTGTGGTTACGGTTATACTCTGGCAGTATAATTCTTGTCTCTAATAAATCCTAAAAAGAGAAGATTTAAAACAAAATCATCTTGCACCTTTATTGAGACACAAAGTGTTATTTAAAACAGTATAAAAATAAAGGTAACTTGTTTTGCTATGAACATCATAACCTCATGTTCCACCAGTTCCTTGAACTTAGCACAAGTTGACTTTCCTTCTCATAAGTCAGGACGTTGTGTTAGCAAAGAAACTTCAGAAAATCTACCAAACTCTGGCATCAACAACCCAAAACTTAAACATTTTTGCTCAAAACATGCATAATTGATGATTTAAATATTCCTTTTAACAACACCTTCAAATCTGTACAAATTTATACTAATTAATAGTAAAAACAGGAACAGCTTTAAAATTGAATCTGAATTGATTTCCAGATATACAAAAATGTACATGTGAGAAGTCATGAGTCCTGGACTGTGGAACTCTGAAGTAACATATTGCTAAAAAGTGTTTGTTTCAATAATCATACTGTGATCTTTGTAATAAAGAATTATTCCACGGAACTGCATTGTCTATTGTGGGCAGGGCTCAACTTATTGTATATAAAAATTACTGTTCAGTTGAATTTGGCTCTGAACTGGCAACATGACTTCACTCAAGGTACTCTGATGATCAAGAAGTCAAGTATTTAAATGTAACATACACCATTGAACACACTGCCACAGCAATCAAAGTCCTCTTCAGTCTTGATTTCCAAACCTTTGCATCTTCCTCTCGTTTCACATTTTTCTTTATATTTTCTACAAGGCCTGTTATTTTTTGCTTTCTTTCTTCCCTCTTTCGTCTGCGTAGTTCTGTTGCACTGTTAAGAGGGCAATACAAAGATTCTTGTCTTTATTTAAGTAAAGGTAAAGAGAGCTTATTCTATCCTGGTACCTCAAAATAGTCATTATCTGACTAAGAGCCTTGAGGCTGACACTGCACTTATTTTATTTCCTCTCTCCATAAACCTGCGCCACAGACAAAACTAAACCTATGGTTAGGTCTGTCTATGAAACAATGCCAATATCCTTGTTCTGGCCCCCACCTGCGTACCAGGATTTGAGTATGCCCCATGATTGGCCTGTTAAAAAAACCTTGTCCATTTGCCAATCAGGTTGAAGGGAAATTTGAAACACACTTTCAGTATTTTATTGACTCCACCAAGGACTCAGAATAAGGATCTTGGTGCTGCTACATGGATGTTATAAACCAGGGTAAGACTACGTCTGCAACACAGACTCCATCACTGCTCAGTTTTACAGGTATTTAATGTTACTTGAAGTTACACAGAAAGAAAAGAAGTCAAAAAAGTATATAAGGTCAGGACTGGGAATTGAGCTCATAACCTATCACATGTACACTAACAAACTGAGTCAGTCCTCAGTTTCAATGTTCAGGCAAACCTTTTCCAGATGTTTGCAGAAAAGTGTCAATATAAGGCAAACATGCGATAAACAAAAGGGGGGGTAAGGAGAACATGTGAAAGCTGAGTCCATATATTCCACTAAAATCGAGTTAACACAACAGCAAATTTTCTAAAAAAAATTACAGACAGCATTTTCTTTAATCACCTGTCTTTTTCCTTTGTTTCCCCTTCATCTGAATGCTGTAAAACTTCATTTGTTTCTGTTTCTTGAAATGCCTGCTCTGTCTGTTGAAGTCCTTCATCATCTTGCTGTTTATCTTTTTCAGTCTGATCTGTTTGTTGAAGTGACTTTTCTCCTTCATTTTCTTTCTAGGAAAAAAGAAGCTGCATAGTTAAAGGGGTCAGCGGATTAAATACCTGCATCAGCCATTAATTTTAAATACCATAATATTACAACTCTTAGCTTCCCTTTTCTTTCTTTGAAGGAAAAGGAGACTGCCGCTGTTATTCTACTACAGGTTTTAGCGAAATGTCATAGTGATGGAAACAAGTTTTCAAATGTTAAAAGTTTTATCATTTGGCAACCTAGAGCAGGGCTTAACCTCCTGCAATAAAAATAAATAGTTTTAATTTTTCTAGGGAAAACAGTAAAATAAATCTTTCTCGGGTGCCTATTTTTGGAGAATTAGGCAAAAAAATTAAGTCTTGTTTTGTCCTTGTAGCCATCCTCGTTCTTGAATCTAAAGGTCTCTTTCACTTTCATATTCCAACCAACATCATTTAGTCACGTCTTTTAACAACAAAGGGGAAATGATTTAGTGGTTAAGTTGCACAACAAGCCAATGACCAGCTTGCTTCACTAATAGCCTGATCTTTTCCCAGGACTTAGTCCAATTAGAGTACTAGTATTATCCTGGTTCCCATTGATTTGTATACTGTGGCAAACAGGGATAAATTGCAACAGAAATTCTTGTATGTAAAAGGAAACAACAAACTTGCAAGGATCAAACTCAGATCTACCGGTCCTTAGTTTGACCATGAGTTAACCACTTGGCCAACATGAATCCCAAAAACTAAACATGTAAGTACTGAGTACCGCTATGTTACCTCAAGCTCTTTACTGCTAGGTTCATGGGCTGCAGGCTCCTCAAGTTTACTGTCAACATCTTCTTCATTGACCTTGACAGACTCTTCTTCAGGTTCTGAGTCTGATATCGAAGATAAGTCAATGATTTCATCTGAACCATCACTGCTGTCTGAAAATACTTCTTTTTCAGGTTCTGGCTCTGTAACATTACCCACAACAAACTGTAATTAGCTTTAAGTATTGATCATCTGCACTCAGAAGCTATAAATTTAATATGTAAAAAAGCATGGCTGACCAAGCCTTATTTAAGCAAAACTGATGTTAGTTTTGTTAACAAGCTCCAGCATATTTTGAGGAGATAAATATCCCATAATAGACAATGGTGCACTAATATGGACACAAGGAAAATAACTCAGTTTCTTTAACTTAAGTAGATAATCTAAAGATGCAAAATGTCAGGGTGTGCAGCACTGCAAAAATTATGCAGGATTTTGATAAACATCTCTGAAACTAACCAGACCCAAAGCTATAAATGTTGCACAAGTGGAGTCTCTGTGGAAGACAGCCTTGCACATTTTGAGCTCAGAAGAGAAATGAGAAAGATGTCAGTAGCAAGTGTGGGTAAAAAATAGAGTTACAAAATATTATTTCTAATGGGATTTTTCCAGAACCTGTGCCTGCACAATCTATCTGCCGAGACACTTGTGGCAAAACTAATGCCAATTAATTGTCCAGTCACATGCATAATAATAATTATGTTAATTTGTCTCAGGTAAGCAATTAATATTATTATTATTATCATTGTTATAATACATCATTATCATCATTATTATCATTATCACTATTATTATTATTATTATTATTATTATTATTATTATTATTATTATTATTATTATTATTATGGTGAGCATGACCATGAAAGGCTAAATATCTGTTTCAAGGGGATAACTGTTAATTGTCAATTTGAACACTTCCAAACATCCATCAGTTCTGATAGGCAGCATTTGCAATATGTTTGAATGTTTTACTCATCTGTTTGAATGGCTGACTGAACCATTTGAGCAGTTCAGTAACCAAACAGTTCAGAGAGTGAGTCACTCTGTTCAAACAGTCAGCCAAACAGTAATTATTATCCCAATGTCTTGAAAACGGTTTGTTAACCTTTCACCATTTCATTAAATATTTTTTGCTGTTCATATGGTTTTCCATTAGTGTCTGGTTTGCCTGTCACAGTCAATGACAAATGGTTAGTTAGCTAATGGACAGACTCACCCTAGAGTGGGAGGCCAATTGCCATTGATCATGTTGGGGACCATAAAAAATAGACTGTTGGAGCAGAGCCAATGGTCTTGAACATTAATTGCTACTCACAGTTTCATGCTTTTTGTGAAGCAATCATCATAATTTATACTAGTGTACATTACAAATATATATATATTTTTTCTAATTACTGGTAATATAAAATAATATTGATATATTTAGCTGATTGTTTTCATCAGCTGCACATTTATAATTGAATATTTCAACAACTACCCTGACAATTTCTGGTCATCTGTCTATCAGCTTTACTATCTGCCTTCATCTTCCTCTTTCTTTTCAAGTAATGGAATAAACTTTGTGACTTGTTCTTGCGTTTGTCCATTTTCTGGGTGGATGCCACAGTTTTTGACATACCATGCTCAACTGGACGGCTTCTCTTTGTTTCTGGTTCATCTGCAGCAGCAGCCTCAAGCCTGCGACGTGGTGGCAAGGGAGGAGGCGTCTCCTCTCCAGAATCCTCTTGGTTTATAGATGCTCGACTGTTCTGCTCTACAGTCTCTTCATGACTTTCATTTTCCCCTAAAAACAAAGTAAATGATTCAACCAGCTCATGGCCATAAACTTCTGGATAAATACTTATCATGCTTACACAAGAAAAACTCTCTTAAAATTTTCATAATTTTTTGGTTTTCACTGATCAGCCAAAGTAAATTGGAGATGGAAAATGAATCATTCAACATAAATCATTTTACAATCTGATGTTCTAACCAACTTGCAAAGAGAAAGACCACATTTACAATTTCATAATGACTATTAAAACATACCAGCGGCACTGCTCTGTAAGTGGCGATTCACAGCTCTCTTAAATATTTCAGGCATCAGAACCCTTGCACCCTCTAGAATTGCCAGATATGTAAAGCGCAGCTGATCTGGTGTTTGGATAAGACCTGCTCTGTACTGACGCACTTCTAACAACACATCAGTGATGCTGATCTGATCCATATCTTCTGCATATTCAATCTGCCCAACAAATGCACAGAATTGCAGGTATATATATTCAATAAGATTAGAAAGTTTGGAATTGCTCTTATTTAAGTTAACCAAATCCTCCTCCTCACCATCATCCTGTTGCTAATTAATTAATTAACTAATTTTAATTACTTAATCAACTTTAAGGACAATGGTAAACTTGACTCTGTCTGCAAGTCACATTGTGCTTTCCTTTAAAAGCTAGAAACAAAAATCTGATAGAGAAAGCATTTTTGTATAATAACATTTTAAATTTCCAATGATGCAAAAACTTAATATTATCTATAGCTACCTCCTTTAAAATGGAGTCCACCATGACAAATGTTCCTGACCTCCCAATTCCAGCACTAAATGTAAAGATAAACAGTTAGTGCAACAAAATGAAAAAACATTTAATACAATCATATAGACAGGTGAACCTATTAAGTTTCAGACTAAACTGAGATCAGGCTCAACTTAAGCAGTTTTCATACATTTTCAGCTATTTTGTTGTCACACCAAAATTGGGCTTGAAACAAAGTCTTCTATTTTTGTGCTGCTGCTGGGATCTGATTTTGGCCACAACACCAAATGGCTGTTAGAACAATGGCAAAGGATCTGATTGCCTGTTGGACTCAGCACAAGTAGACACCACTAAATTCCTTGTGCAGTTTTCTTGAACATATTCACGAATGATCTGGCATTAGCAGAGAGAATAATTTTGTTGTACTTTTTTGGCTGGTTTGTGTTAGAAAAACAGGTTATCTTTGTGTAGTAGAAATTGTGAAAATTCTAATGGTTTTCCTGGATGGACATGATCTGAGAACTTGGTGGCCAAAGTTGAATCGTCTCTCTGCACCAGTAGTCGTGCATCCAAGTCCCAGTACCATCCACATTAAAAGTGGTTTCACTTGAAAGTTCAGTCAGGAAAGATCTGCTTTAAGGTGATTCCTTAGTAAAAGAACCTAGCGTAGATTAAACATGACACTTGGTACACTGATGTAACATGTCAAGTAGATGAGAAAAATGTAATAAAAAGTGGGGGTCCCTGCCCTTGTTCTGATGTCACAATGTTGACAAATACGGCTATACCCTTTGGCAAAAACCAAGCACAGCCCAAAACTAGACAAAAAGGAGAGGTTTTTTCAATGATGCATGTGGTATCGCACAGAATTTGACTTAAACGTATTGTTTATCCACCTACATACCAGAAAAATGCCTTTTAATGCCCTTGTTTTTATTTTACTCTCCAAAGTAGACTTAATTTGGACACGAGCTATTTGACCCATTATAGCTCAATCCATACATAAAAAAAATTCGGTAAAATTGTCAAAAAACTTTACACAGATTCATGCCAAATTTTTTCTCATTGAAAGGAAGCACTGTTCTTATTAAAATCATGAAATAAAAAATGGGGGTCAACGTACTCGTTTTTACGGTAGAAAGTGTGCACGAAACACATTTCCTCCGATTTTTGAGAGAGGATTGGGACGGGTTTCAAAATGAGATGTATGTGGAAGGGAGAAAAAAACATCAAAAAATCCGTTTTTAGAGAATTTACATTGAGATATCACAGTTAGGATGCAATCTGATTAAGATGGGGCTTAAATAAAAATCAAAGTGAGTTAGCACAAGTTTAACATCCACTATGGAAGTTCTCCGAGAAGAAGTCGAACTCAGCAACACGCATACTGCTTATTTTGTGCACATTCCCAACACATTCAGTCTCATCTTGCCAAGAAACAACCGAAGCGAAAATTCCAATAGCGTTTCACTTTAATAATATTACTTCAGATGCTCTTTATCATGGCGGCCATCTCATTATGCACAGTGAGAGATGTGCAGTACAAAACCAGCTTTAAGTTTTACTAGTGTCATTTCATTTATCCATTCCAAAATTACAGATAATATTCACTTAGATTTATATTGCCTACTTTCCAAGATCATAAATTTGCACACTACAGTATATTCACAAGACTGACTTAGTTTTAAAGAACTTGTTTTGTCTGATCTTAAAAAATATATAGGGATATATTCCTCTAAAATTTATAAACACCTCTGTGCAGAAAATTCAGGGAAATGCCAGGAAAATATTTGCCGAGGCTACAGTAAAATAGACAATTTTTACTTTTTTTCAAAATTATCAGGGCACCCTGATTTAAAAATGATCAACAGAGTTCAACTGCTGATTACGTGATAAAAAGCTGAGTCCTTCTAACACACCTGCAGTGAATTACACAAGGCCCTACATCTGATGATAACACTCCTGCCTTGCGCACTTCAAAAAGGAATGCTAGAAAAGTAGCAGGTGATGTTGGCACTCCAAAGTCTGGCCAGGTAAAATAATGAAAGTGATATATGACACGTTTCTCTCCTGACTATAAAAAAAAAGAAAGGAAAACATCAGCAACATACAGCAGGTAGCAGCTCTGACATGAAGCACTCAACACTACATATCACAGGTTATAGTGCTTCTCATCCTGCCATCCTTAATGTTCCACATGCTTTGTTACTATCTCAGAAGCATGGTGTGACAAACCTCTCAAAGAATACTAACTGAATTGGTCAATTTTATCCTAAACCTAAATATAAGCTTATTTTAAGATATTTTTTTTATATTTGTTATGCCTAATGATTAAAAATTAGAACTGTTTTTTTTTTACCGGCAATGATCTTGTTATTTAGAACTTTTTTATAGCAAAGTGATCTGCTTGTAAAAGGGGACTTTGGCCTTTTTTACAGACAATCCCTTTGGAATTAATCTCTTGTTTTCTTATTAAATTTTTTGTAAGATGAAATTAAATGGTAATAAATAAATAAATAAATAAACAAATAAATAAATAAATTATTGGAAAGGTAAAATGTCAGTAAATATCTCAAGGAATAAATTTTGTCCTAGTTACAAACTGTCAGAAAATAAGATTTCATTGATGGTTTAATGCAAATTTAACATTGGTCACTGTGTTCATTATGTCCTATAAAAGAATGTAGCTCACAAAGACTCACCAGCACACTTTCTAGTTCCAGTGTTCTGATAGTAAAGAACTCGTCCCCTTTTTCCTGAATGTAATAGATTCTAAAATTTCCAAACTCCATTTGATCAACATGACCATATACTTCCCCACAAGGCCAATACTGGAAACACTTTTTCTGTAATATAGCAAAAAGGAATTTATATGAATGGTTGATTAAGGAACAAGTGAGCATATATTTTAAAATAATTCTTGTTTTCATCATCCACATAGAGTAACTTGCAGCTTTTGTGTCCCAAGTTGACCACAATAACGGTATGCCTGGTCAACTTGGAACATGAAAGCTACAAGTTACTGTAAGTATATGTATGTTCAAAAAAGATATTTTTTTAAAACAATTAATGTTTTTTTTCCAAGCCTTTTCCAACAATAATGTTCCAAACACAATTCCATTTAAAAATGTACTTGTGATCTCTAGCATCTTAGTCCCTGAATCAACCAATGAGACTCTAGATATATTTGAGATTATTTTTTCACGAACTTAGTCCCTGTTTTGACCAATAAGATTGTACGTGTAATCTAATCCAGTCTCTACAAAAACTAAGTCCGCAAGCAAGCCAATCAGAGCGAAGAATATTTACGACCGTTTGAGATGGAAATCATCACGTGCCAAAACGCAATTCAAATAAAGGTTTGTCTGCTTTTCGTTTGATGTGCCATTAGATCTACTAACACTAACTACACTTAGTTAGTCTTTTATGGAGGATAGCAATCTGAACTGTAATTATAGCACTTGTGTCATGTTCAGCTGTACCGTACACAAACTAACCTGATTTTTCTCAACCACCTTGTTCAACATTACAACAGCTGCACTCTTTTGCTCCCATATCATCTGCCAGAAGTGTTCTACGGTATGCGGTAAGGGTCCCTGGATCCACAATAAAAACAGTCAATAAACCATCCATCACTTATCCATAATGGAGTTACCTCAATGCAATATAAACAGAATAAATGTAATTTAGTTCAAAGCCAGTTGACAAAGATGTGTTTTAATGCAACGTTTGTCACCTTGACTCAAGATTGCCTACATTCAAAAACATACTAGAGGCAATTTTTGTTTTATTTCCTCCGACATTTGCTACTATTTCTTTCAATTGGTGTTGTAAAAGCTCAAAGGAGGAAGTTGGAGTATACAATGCAAATTCCCCACTCCCTTTTAAGAAGAGTAAGGATAATTTAAATTATTATTCATTCAAAATATTTTCCCAATTTTGATTGGCTAAAAGCACACGCATAATTCACCATAACCAGCTACTGATGACCAAATTTTGAAGAATTTTGAGTTTAACGAGGAAATGAAGTCAAAAATGCAGCCTTCTACAGGTTAATGCACCATTAACCGAGAAGACCTGGGGACGAGACTGAGTTGTTTTCGCTGTAAAAACTAAAATGGCGGACACTTCACTCGCTTCAAGAGTAAGAAATACAGATGGAACTAGGCGAAATAATGGCTAAAAACATAGCAAAAACAGAAAGAAGACAACTCGGAGGGCGACATCTGCTATTTGGAGAATGTTTGCGGAGCTGGACAAACCTAAACGTAAACTATCGAAGATAAACTTAACATTGATGCAGGTAAGCTTGTTATAGCTATGTTTTTAAACTAGCAATTATTTTGAATGAATAATAAAACAATTATTGAATTCGGCTTTCGTATCATATGAAGAATTATGGAGATCTCAGAGGGTGTTATCCGCCTCAATCTCCATAATTCTTCATAAGATACTCAGCCTAATTCATTAATTGTTAATTAACCATGTGTATTATCTGTCTTATTTCTAGATAGTTATATTTTCACTTACCTGAGTAAGAATATAGGATTGGTTTAACCTTGGAACCTGTAAATACAAACTAAGTTAACTACTGACTTGAAGGAAAAGCTGAAAATATCTTGACTGTGAAAAGAAAGGTGGTAACAAACTAACAGAATTGAATTTTCAATATTGTAAGTCCTACTTCGACAAGGTTGGCATTGATGTAGTCTGGAGATTGCTCCTTTAAAATGATCCGACTGTGGTCATCTGAAACAAAAAATTGAAATATATCACCATGACAAACGATACACTTTATAAATGGCCTTGCTGATGGGATGATAGAACATTTGACACCTTAAACCAGATACAGAAAAATCTGGGTTCAAGTGTAATTTACAAGTGTAGCCACTGTTTTAAAGTCTGAAAACAATAGCTAAACTTGTAAATTATGCTGGTAAAAGTTTTACTACTGTTAATGATCGCTTAAGCACCACGGCAATAATTTCATTTTCCCTGTTATAGGTGCAGCACTTATTTGTGACTGACGCTTATTGATGAGCAGCGCTTATTTCAACTATGGGTAAAACACTGAGGGGAATATAGAGAGAATTAAGTGAGGTGCATACTTGGTGTGCACAATTTTATACTAAAAGTATAAAATATGTACACCTCGAACTGTTATATGAACCTGGTTTCAAGAGTTTCCCTACATTGAAACTTTAGAACTCACGAGATGGTCAAGGTCTTATTTCTCAAGCGATATCAAGTGCCATAGCAAAGATGGGGCGTTAATTTGAAAATACCCAAATTAGCGCCGCAGCGCTTATTCGAGAGCGGCAATTATTAAATTATCTTCAGTAAAGGTGCCACACTTATTCAAGGGCGGTGCTTAATCGAGTAGTGGTGCTTAATCAATCATTCACGGTAAATTAACCCTTGGTAGACTTTTAAGGTCGGGTAAATTTACCTCCAAAAATATACATAATTACATGGGTAAATGTTTATCTACATCAATTAGCTGGTTTCTGCCTTCATCAAAAATAGTCTCGACAACCCTCGGAATGGGCACACGTAGGGGGGAGGGGGAAAAAAGACACAAATGAAGCACAGTCATGTGAAATAAACAGCAAAAGTAATATATTACGTAAATTTGTAAGTGTGTACTACGATATCCTGTAAAATGTATTTTAATTGACATCCGTTTAGCATCCTGTATAGTTGTAAGACTACAAGGATTAAACTGTAAGTAAGTAAGTAAGTACTGCAGTTGTCAGGACATCCAACAGGCCTATGTGTTACTGTTTATTACAAAAATGATCAAATGTGTAATTTTCATTAGATAGCTATGACCATGATATGCTTTATAAAGAGCAGTTGTGCCTACATTTTATCATCCTATTATTTTCTAGTCATTGCTCAACATCAGTACAATGGTTTGCAATTATGTGTCAAGTTTGTGTTTGTTTTGAACTTGTGAACTTGCACTGAACCGTATATGCCACCCAGAATATAAACTGTGAGAACACAACGTCATTACCTTATGTTTTATAAAGCAGTTTGAGGAAAGAAATGCAAGAAGTTGCACCAAAAATGTTTTCTCTAGCTACATAGACTACATAATCACTGAGGCTGCAGTTAGACTTCAATAACTTCCTGCAGCTACGGTTTTGATTATCTTAAGCAGAGGAGAAGTTTATGAGGACTAAAACACCAAATTTAACGAAAAGAAATGGTGATCAGAAAGGGAGGGTCCAATATATTTCACCACAGACATACACTGTAGTAAAAAGTACTTACATGGCAAAACATCTCTGTAGCGATTAAGTTGTCTGTTTTCCGGAAGTTTTGCCGCTGTCACAGCTCCAGCTTTCTGACTAGCTTCCCAATTAAGTCGCTTGATCGGATAAAATAAAAAAGGAACGATAGAGAAACAACAAACACAACAGCAATCAGTTAACTAGCAAGCGAGTAAGCATTAGACACTGGTGGATGCTCAAGTTTTCGCGAAAATTAAGAAACAAACAAGGACATCTTACTTGAAACAAACGTGGCCATGCTCTTGACTTGTCTAATTCTTCTAGTTCTGCCAACATGTCGCAGAAAATAACAGAAAACGAAACAGTTAAGCATACCACATAAGACAAAACACGACAAACTTCCAACATAAGGCCATGTTCAGCGGAAAAAGGCGTCCTCGATGTAAGTGGTACGCAGTGTAAGCGTACAGGCCGTAGGTTGTGCAAGAGAGAGGTACTGGGGCAGGGTTGAACATCTGGCAGGGAAGGCAGGGACCATGAACATCTGGATAAAATGTTTCTTATATGAAGAAGTTAAAAGCCGGTACAACGTACAAAAGCCGACTTAACGTGATTATCAAGTAAAAAGATAGGTTGGGAGGGGGGTACTCCCTATAATGGTCTATAGGGGGAGGGTCCGTCCGAAAGGGTGCCTTTTAATAACCAAGAACGAGAAGTCCAAAGACTACTGCAAAGCTGATTTAAAACAACGTGTGTTGTTTTTTATAACGATATTTCGGCTGGGCATACCAGCCTTCTTCAGGTTTACAGATGTTACTGAACTTATGGAGCGATCACAATGTTATATAGATGGAGAATGTCGCAATAAAAGGGAGAGGCGGAAATGACGTACAACATAAAAGCTGGAAAGGAAAAATACTAAGGATATGGATTACAATAATTCGTCAATAATTAAATAATTATGCGCTTTTGAGTATTTTTATAGAAAAAGTGCAATATAAGTATTAAATATTATTATTATTATTATTGTCACGGCGGTTTAGGCCATGAGGTTCAAGAGTCATGGCCTTACCTATTAAAAGCGACTCCCTGGCCTTACGAACTGAGTCACGTGAAGAATGAATTTTCTCTGGTGGGATTAACTGCATGTCAGATATTTAATAGTTGAAGTACATGAAAGCGTAGGAAAATCTGTCGTTTCAGTCTGCAAAAGGACCAAAAATGGCTAACAGACAAATTTTAATGATGATGATTAGATAGATTTTTGCAATAACCATCAATTGTTGTGATGGAGGCAAATAAATGGTAGATAGATAGATGTGAAGGAGAAAACAGATTTTAAAGAGAGAGATCATTTAAAGCTGTTATGAAAAGGGATCCAGTGTTCAAGGGGAACCTTTTCCGTTAAAAATGGTATATATAAGGGGCTGGACCTCGGGCAACCTGGTAATAAATCCTTGTTCTCCTACACCAATACAAAAAAATGCAACTAAAATATCTTCATGTTAGGTGAACACGGATTTATTACCGGCAACCTCCTCCCCAGGGCTTCTTCCTTTTCCCATTTTTTGAGGGAAAAGCCCTGGGGACGAGGTTGGGACCTAGGGGCGGAGCCTCCCCGTATAAAACTTCCTTGAGTCGCCCCCGGGGGAGAAATAGGTGTCTTTGTGAAAGCTTTCATCATTGTGATTAGTGCACACTAAATTTATCAGCCTTCTTTGTGGTCAATCACGTTTTGAGAGCCAACGTGTCCCCTGAATGGCGGTTAAAACCAGGTTTTGGGATCCAGAAATAGTGTCCCGTTCCCCTGAATTGAGGTTTCCCTTCAACAGAGGTAACAGATAAAAAGAGTATGAGAGCAAATTTTGAGTCTCCTGAATGGAAGTGTCCCTTGAATAGAGGTTTCCCAAAGGAGAGGTTGCACAAATGTGATCGGACTGGGTGTTTTAGCCTACATGTGGCCACACTGAATTCTGCAAAGCTGATCTTAACTTTGTAAGACATCAACACGACACTGAAAGAATCAAAACAGAGCGGGGTCGTAGCCGTAGACAGCTGTTTCGCCCTTTTGGGGGCTCGTCAGTACGGCGCAACAAACAGAGAGGCTCTGGCGTAAAATTCCCGTACACTCTGTGTTAAAGGTCCTTTGCGGTTGAAATGTCAATTTATTATTTCTTGGGGGCTGTAGGTCTTTTATAGATCCGATATGCCGTTCCTTTTTTGCATGGTTTTGCCCATGTTTCTAAGGTTGGTTGGATCTTGTTTACTGTGGGTAATGTCGACCGAGATATCGGTCGACATAGCGGTCGATATAGCGGTCGACAGTCGGTCGATAGCCGGTCGACAGTCGGTCGATAGTCGGTCGACAGTCGGTCGATAGTCGGTCGATAGTCGGTCGATAGTCGGTCGATAGTCGGTCGATAGTCGGTCGATGGTCGGTCGATAGTTGGTCGATAGTCGGTCGATAGTCGGTCGATAGTGAGATAGACTATCGGCCGAGTATCGGTCGATATTTCGACGACGCACCTCGACTTGCTATCGGTCATATGTCGGTGATATATCGGTCAACTGTCGGTGGTATATCAGTCAACTGTCGGTGGTATATCGGTGAACTGTCGGTGGTATATCGGTCAACTGTCGGTGGTATATCGGTTAACTGTCGTTCGAATATCAGTCGTGTGTTAATTTATCAGGTGAGTCCAATGGCTTTTTTTTTAAGCAAAGACGTCATTAATTACTGTTCATGACATGCTTTAAGAGCGAGGAATACACATCTTTTATTATCGGGCTTTGACCTGCTTCATCACGCCAAGTTCTCGCTTGTGCAGAGACCACAAATTAAACTTATATATTTCTGTATTGAAGACGGGAACAGTCCTTTGTTTAACGATCAGTTATTGATAAAACGCGCTGATAATGTGCCGAGGAAGGTGACAAAAATATCCAGCAGACTGAACACATTCATTTATTGTGGGATACGCTACGTTCTCATTACATTATCCTGTCCTTTTGCTCTGTCCTTTCGCTTTATATTTATATTTTGTTCAAAATAGAGACGACCATGCGTATACAGAAATTAATATTGAATGGTAAGTCACTTTTGGTCATCCACGAAAAGGAAAACAGTATGCGCCGCGTTAACATTAATATTATCTTAACTTGTTAAGGAAAAACAAGTTTAAAAAAATGAACTGTAAATACATTTTTTCATCAATGTAGTTCTGAGTCGGTTGAAAAATTCTCGGCATAGGAAAAATCAGCCAGATATAGGCCTTACACGGTGGGAATAAATCACATAACAAGAAGCTGAAGGCCTATCATTCTCACTTAGCGGACTTCTTCATGATTCAATTCTAGCCGGCTACGCGTAGCGAGATTCCCACCCCTGAAAAAAAAAACGAGGGGAGGAAACGTCTGCGAAAAGGTGGTGGGCATCGATACAGATAGGCTAAATCCCGTTCACATGAATTAAAAGAAAAGGCTAGATAAATGACTAATAGCTATTATTCCGGAATTTTGGCTAAGTACATTGAAGTTTGAAATTAAAAAAGCAGAAACACAATTTAAAAAAACAGTTAGGTCCAAGCTAGAAAATGCTTTCTAATTCCTTGTTTTCCAAGCTAAAAAACGTAGGAAATGCTAAGTGTCGACCGACCATCGACGGAGTGTCGACCAATTACTGACCGATACATCGGTCAAGTATCGACCAACTATCGGCGAAATGTCGGCGAAATGTCGGTGTAATGTCGGCGAAGTGTCGGCGAAAAGTCGGCGAAGTGTCGGTGAACGAAAAGCTATATCGGCCGAGACACATCTGGAACGACTATCGACCGTGTCTCGACCGAGTGTCGACCCACTATCGACCGACTATCGACCGACTATCGACCGCTATATCGACCGACTGTCGACCGAGCGTCGACCGAGTATCGACCGACTGTCGACCGAGTATCGACCGACTGTCGACCGAGTGTCGACCGACTATCGACCGAGTGTCGACCGCTATATCGACCGATATCTCGGTCGACATTACCCACAGTAAACAAGATCCGGTTGGTTTTGTCCATCCTATATTTTCTTTGTGAGACATCAATGTGACACTTGGACTCTTGTCCTCTCGGTGACACGTGATATGGCGTGATTCTGTGAGTGTTTGAGTTCATGTCAGGGCAGTTTAAAACAGAGTGTTCGTTGCGCCATACTGACGAGCCCCAAAAAGGGCGAAACAGCTGTCTACGGCTACGACCCCGCTCTGTTTTGGATCTTTCAGTGTCGTGTTGATGTCTTACAAAGTTAATTTTCACGTTGTAAGATCAGCTTTGCAGAATTCAGTGTGTCTACTAAGTGTATACTTTTGCTGGTCAGGTCTTTTATAGATCCTACGTTTTGCGGCATATTCGTTTGCGGTCCTTTGCAGTTTAAATCTCAATTTACATGTGGCCGTACCCTCCCCTCCCTTCCATTTTCTCAGCGGGGTAGAGTACAGCTACACGTGGGCCCCCTAGGGTGCATTAACACTTTGTTTGGCGCTTACGAAGAATACGAAATTGACTTTTTTGGGGGGTTACGTAATTAAAATTGCCCATAACCTTCCACAAGGTGTTTGCTGATAACCGAGGTCTTAGTTCAACACTGCTCAAAAGGCCGGACACTTCCACGTCGAAACGTGGTCTTCTTTTTATCTGTTCACCTTTTAAAAATTGAAGCTCAACAGAAGTGCTGCTGTGGCTGGTCGGCTATACCCTACCCGACCTACCCAAACCTCCCGTTGTAATCAGTCAAACTGGGATCTCTTTTCCGTAGTCTTAGTCTGGTAGCCTGCGAAAACATCCGTTTCTCCTCTCTCTTCGCCGCTGGAGACGTTTCGCGAAACGTCACCAGGGGCGAAGAGAGAGGAGAAACGGATGTTTTCGGGGTGTTACGAAAACGAAGACCCTCGAAAACTAAGACCTAAGACCTAAGACCCGTCTTATTTTCGAGATTACGGAAACTAAGACCCCCTAAAATCGAATCCGTCGAAATATAAAGTCAAATTGTAACCGAAATAGGTCTAATCTGTCAAATTATCTTCTGTCCGATCCTTTCCCCCGAGTTTTTGGTCAAATTTAACGGTAAATTCAGGGGTCGGGTCTTAGGTCATAGGTCTTAGTTTTCGAGGGTCTTAGTTTTCGTAACACCCATGTTTTCGTAGGCTATAGTCTTAGATACAAGAACAAACCCCATCTCGTCACCATTATTTCACAGAAAAAAAGGTCCACGTTTGTGTTTTGAAACGTCGCTTAGTCGGTCGTCGAAGGGTGTTAAGCGTATAAGTTGAATTTGTGATCCAGATAGAAATAGGTGAATGGGCGGTCAAGACCCCACTCATAACACAGCCGGTATATTTAAGTAATAACATACGGGACAAATACAAAAAAAGGAAAAGAAACACCTTACAAAAAATCATGTTTATTTACAGCAAACGTTCTCATGTCAACAATAAAAAGTCATTTTCACATAAGCGCCTAATTAAAACCTTTTACCGATAGGGCTTCTATATTTTTAATAGAATTTAATGGAGCCGAAACCAATTGTAGAATTGCACACATTTTAGGTATCCTACTGGTGAATACAGTTCCCGGGGGGGGGGGTACTCCCATACATTACCTATACGGGTATGTGCCGCCCAAGGGGGTCGTGATTTTGAAGCTCCTGGTTTAGAACGGGGTATCCATTTCAGACGCGGTTTCTAGAACGGGGTATAATATTTCGAACGCACGAAAGCTCTCCACTTTTGTAAGCAGCCATTTGAAAGCATTCAAGGACAGATTGCTTTTAAAAATACGGTTCAGTGCGTTAACAAGCAAACCGTTGTACTCTTGTTGCACCCTAGAACGGAGTATAAAAAATTGGCCCATT